CTTCCCCATGATTGTGTAGCCTATAGAACTAGACTGAAAGACCATTTAAAGGCTTTTGCAGGTGGTTTGAGTTAATTAGCTGATTAGAGTGTGGCACCAGGGGCCATCAATTTTGAACCTTTTCACAATATTCAAATTTTCTGATATGATGAATTTGAGATTTTCATTTGTTGTCATTTGTAATCATCAAAATTAAACAAAATAAACATCTGAAATATATGAGTTTGTATGTAATGTATGAATATAATATACAAGTTTCACTTTTTAAATGGAATTACTGAAATCAATCTACTTTTTCATGATATTCTAATTTTATGACCAGCACCTGTACGTTGCCATTGTCTCTAGCATCTGGATCATTGCATGTGTTGCAACCATCAAGGTCATTTTTTCAGTTTCTGACAGTAATGTTACTGCCAGATCATCTTTCCCACCCTGGATGCGCAACTATTTTATTCATTTTTCTTTCTATTCCTTGAACAAAGATGGTGCTACATACAAGAGGTTTGCCAGCAGAAGTTCTCCAAAAACCAGTAATACGTCAAAACAAAAGACAAATCTTTTTATTTTATTTACAAATGTATTCTATTTATCAATAATCATTCCTAGGGTATATATAAAATAAGACACATGTCAAACAACATCAAGCAGAGTGTGCTTTGTCTGGCTCAGATGCAGGGACTTGAATATATGGTGTCGGAGAGTATATTTATTTGATGATAAAATATATTAATGCATTTTTACCACTGTTTAACTGATAGATATTTCCACTCCTCTGATGAAAAGAAACCTGTGGACATTCATCAGCACCTCAGTATGTTGCAGAATTAATTTCATTTTTTAAAAGAGACTTAGACAAGTCTCTTTAAAAAACAAACTTGCTGTGAGCCACTGTTTCACTTAAACGGACATACATGATTAAAGACATTAAAGGACAAGTGTGAAGTTGATCTAAATCTAAAGCCTCCATGGTCCCCAACTATAATTCTGTGCTGTTAGATGGCATGCCAGACAAGCAACTCTGAGAAATGCTTTTAGCATCATTTCAGTGTTGCAAGAGGTTTTCCCCAAAATGATCATTACCTACTAGACAGTATGTCTAGTGTTGCATTTCTGACTGTCCAATTTTTGATGACATGCTCAGAGTATTTTTTCTCTTTCCTGTCTGTCATTGACTATGAGTCCCTCTCACCAGAATGACTGCAGATATTTTTGCAAGAAACTTTCAAAGATAGACAAAAACCTCACAAAAAAAATCATTTTTTGCTTTGATAAATTGTGGATGGTTAGTGATTAAGTTCACATATCATCCTCCAATTATTTTGCATGTTTTGGTGAGCACCAGATGTTCTGCATACTCAGAAAAGGCAATCATGCTAAACAGCCTCTATTTCACTGATGTCACAGATGCAATTCTGAAGCAGATCAACTGACCTGCCAGCTGCAAAAGGTTAGTATATCACCTTTTAGCAAGTCAAAAAGTTCGCACACATATTTAAAAGCGCAAATATTCAGTAGATCAGGGCCTCAGTGTCTTTTCCTGCAGCAGCTTTAGAGATGTATTTTCGCTGCTTGTCTGCAGTTGCTGTAGCAGAATTCATACATGCGCCCAGATTGTGTGCTTAGACTAGAGACGTTCATTTCAAGCGGCTAAAATATTTAAGAGCTGCACCTTCACCGTCATCTCACATCCATGTAAAAATGTCAAAGCTCAATTTAGAACACGGTTTGTGTTTTAAAAGCACTTTCTGGAAGAGATAGCAGCCATGACGTGAAGGCCCTCTGTAACAAACCTTTCATTATACCCAATCATTTATCTTTTAGTCTGTGTCAAAAAAATTAGATGGAATAGATGAAGTTTATTAACCTTAATTCATCCCCTTTAGCTGACTTGGTTGAACCGATTTCATTTGGATTCCTGTCAACTTCCACCCTGCAGCGACGTGAAAAAAAATGTTTCTCACACAGCTGCCATGCTCTCAGGCTCCTCTGTGTCAGCGATTACTCCTGTAAGTCATTAATGAAATTAGGTTACCTCCGCCTGCAGACATTCTCTTTTCATTTAAAATGCACCAGTTCAGATCTTTATAAGACATCGTTATTGAAACTAGGGGACCTGAAATCAGATAATGCAAAAAACAATCTGAATGAAAATCAGAATTACTTTATTAATCCCTTTTGGGAATAATTTTCTTTCAGGGCACCAATTTACAAAATTTGGATATTACTGTTTTTGTTTAATTTAGTCATTAAATTGGTGTTTAAAAAATATATACTTTTGCAGTTTTTTCCTATAGATCTTGCATGTCACGTTACAGCCTGTCTTATATGGGCTTTTTCAAATGGATTATGTCTCCCAGGGATTCCATACCTAGTACTGAAATGTTGTACATTCCTCCTGGCAATCCAACTCACATTCTGTTGGATAATTTCCGAGGACATTAAGCCCTTTCCAAGTTTCTCAATTAGATTCAGGTTAGGGCATCTTACTTTCGAAGACAAATATATAGTTTGATCTGGACTATATAGGTGTAGCTCTCTGTGGCTGTTTTTTTGGGGTTGTTTTTATCTAGAATCTGAAGAACTGATGGTCTTTTGGCCTAAAAGTAGCAGAACCACTGCAAACAAATGCTGTGACAGAACTAAAGCTTCAAACTTCAAATCCATTTAGATGCAGGAATAACAAAGAGGATTGATTTTGCCTTAGAAAAAAATACCTAACCACTAATGATACAATATTTATGGTTATGTAGAGCTAATTCAATAAACAGCAAGTCACAGAGCAAAATAAATAAACCAGAAACTTCAGTAGCACAACATCAGGAAAGGTAGAGTTTTTTTTTTAAATGTTTTTCTTTTTAGTGTTTATATCAGCAATTAAGTACGCACCCTAGATTCTATCGCTGGAAACCAAGTAATGTAACAATATAATGAAGGTTTGCATCATAGTTTTATAGTCAAACAGGTTTAGCAAGGTCAATTACCATGGTTTCTTACTAGTATCCAGTCTCAGTACTTTTATCTTTAGTATGCATGTTCAAAAACATCACAGCTTTAGTAGTAAATTCATATTCAGGTACCCTGGGTCGCAGGGACAGAGATTCCCAGACTTCACTCTCCCCAGAAACCTCCTCCAGCTCTGAGACTGAGGCCAGCTGAGATAGTCCGCCACCATATTCCCTCCAGTGTGTCCTTGGTCGTCCCCTGGGCCTCCTCCCGGTGAAGACGTGCCTGGAACATTGCCAGGAGGCATCCGACAAAGATGTCCAAGCCACTAAAGCTGCCTCTTTTTAACGTGGAGGAAAAGCAGTTTCACTCCGAGCCTCTCCCGAATAACCGAGCTCATCACCTTATCTCTCAAGCTTATTTCAGCCCTATGTATCAGGATGTTGTTCTTTTGGTTATGATCCAGATTTCATGACTGATTTCATTGGTAAAGGTAGAAACATAGACCAACCTGTTAATTGAGAGCTTTGCCTTTTGGCTCAGCTCACTCTTCACTACAACAGCAGCATCTTTATTCTAGCAGCAGCACCGATCCGTCTATCTGTCTCCTGCTCCATTCTCCACTCACCTGTGAACAGGATTCCAAGATACTTAAACTACTCAACATGAGGCAGTGACTCGCATCCAACCTGAAGGGAACAAGCCACCTTGTTCCAGTCAAGAACCAGGGGCCTTGGAGGAGCTGATTCTTTTCATTCTCAATAGTAGTAAATTATCTTGTCAAATTGCAGCTGTTTGTTAAAGCTAAAATATGTATGTAAGACATATTATTAAAACATTGTTACTTTTTAGTTTTAGCCAATCAAACTCCTTTATTCCCGAACTGAAGAGTAATGGGGCCTCATTTGACAGATAGGTTATGTTACATTAAAAACATTTTTTTTGTAGAATCTGAAGCTTTACTGATCTTTACAAACTGTTAAAAAATGGCATTAAATAGTTTATAGGATTAAAAGGTCCCATATTATGTTACATTTAGTGAACAAGTGGATTTTGCATCTGGATGCATAGAAATTAATTTCAGATCTCTATATTCCTAATATTACAGGTCAGCATTTGTATATTTTTAACTATGAAAAAATGTTTTTCAGTTATAAATTTTCAGTTGAGCTGATAAATGTCAGAACGGCCACTTAAAATGTGTGAACATTTCTAGATATATAAAACTTAACTCTTACTAGTATAATTTCGTTAGTTTTTTACTTTATAAAATTCAGTTTCTGCTAAAAAAAATGCAAGTTAGAAAATATATTATTACAGTTAGTCTTGGATGGTGATTTTGATGAGGAACAATATTATTTTAGTGATCTACAAATGGAACAACAGAGAGGAATGATTTTAATAAATTTAAAAACGGCCTGCCATAACCCACTTCATATAAACTTATGCATTAACTCGAGCAACAATCCTCTCCTTCACCACCTTCCTCTCCTTTGTAGCTGTAGTGCTGTTTCTCTGTCTTTTAAACAAATTCGACTTTTATTTTTTGCATTTCTGCATTAAAATCTCTAGTTCCATTGGGGTGAAATAGACACTTCCTGTTGCCTGTTTTCATGGTGACTCGTTGAATCGGTGCTCCACTGATAATGGCTTTTCTTACTTGTTGTGCAACTAAAATTGGTTGAACTAACTGATAGCAACCGTTGTGAAACCAAACAATCGGAGTCCTCGACTTTAGATCAATTTAGAGTTGCAGATTTGAACCTGAATTTGTTACACCTTTCATACACATCAGCTTAATAGCAGGAAATTTCCATTACAGAATTGTCTTTGTTCCTCCATCATGTAAACAGATGATCCACCAGCAGCCCCATTTCTTTGCGGCGAACAGCTTACTTCCCCGGATGACATCACAAGGGGGAGGGTTTTCAAATAGAGCATTTTGAGCAAACATTAGCAAGAGTTGGATAAAGACAGTGATTTATTTTTTTCTCCACTTGTGAACCTCATACACAGGCTGAAGGACACACGAGTGTTACAAAATCTTTATAATGTTAATTTTGAATAATATTGTACATTTAATGAAACCAAGTTTACATACATTTTCAGACATCCTTAGGGCTCAGCAAACAAAGCATGAAATTTTCTCAGGCGACTGAGTTTTTTTTTGTATTAAATTAAAATTTTACAATCTAAGCAGATATGTGAGTTTAACTAAGCTACGTTGTCGCCTAAAAAGACATCTTAAAAGTTTAGATCATTTTAAATTACAGTTTTTGCCACAGTCTTCTGCAATCAGTGTTCAATTCATAAATCTTAAGAAATGGTGGGCCATGACGTATACATACTACATCCTTCAAATCTGGGGAAAAAAGGACAAATTCACTGAGCTCAGATGAAAAAGGCTTAGAAGAAATTGGGAAAGGGAAAACAAAAAAAGTTGGAAACTGGGGACAACTTTAGATACATAATGGTTATGTATTCAATCTACAAAACCAAACTAAACATTTAAGGTGTATTAGGAAAGAACGCAGTTTTGATAGACTCAAAAAAACTTCTTGGTTGGTCAAGAATTCACTTGTTTTGAAAAAAAAAAAAAAAAAGTTGTACGCTCTTTACCTGCAAACTAAAATTTAAGACCTGGTAATTTTTTTCCTGATACCTGAGAAATTCTAAAATATGAACTATGCTGCTGTCTAATGACTGTTTGATACATACCAAGGACATTACCAGTAATAGTTGCCCCCCACCTATTGTATGGAGAGCGAGTGACAGGTATGGAAAAGAGAGTAAACCCCAAATTTTCTGCAGTCATTGAGGTGAGTGCGAGTCCTAGACAATGACTGATAAACTGAAAAAAATCCAGTTTAAGGGAACCATCATTGTGTTACTGTGCAAAATTTTTGTCTAAATCCTAAATATACTAAGATATTTGGCACCATGTTATGCTGCCCTCTATGGGTTGAAAGGTTGCCACTGCAGCTGAATTCCTCTATTGTTTCTGACTGTACAGCTTGCTACATGTTTACATCACAGCCCAATTGTTCAGGTATGATGGTGATTTGATTTACATCATAAGTTTGAACTCCAAGATGATTGGGGAGTCTTGTACTCTCTAATGCTGCTCCATTACAGCCAGTTGCAGCAATAACACTAACAAATTACTGGACTAGGTGGTATTCTGAATTCTAAAGTACCAATGGTTTGCAGCATAAAACAATCTCACTCAGATCCTCCTCCACCCGATGAGTCAAGAGTTAGAACTGCGAGCATTGATATAAGAACCGAGATTATTTAGTCATCCTAAATTCACCTTCCCTCATTCTAATCATACCTCTACACGCGACCCCGTCTGCCGTGCCCCCAGCATTGTCCAGTTGGATGGCATTTTTCAACATTTCTTCAGGGGTAATGGAGCTAATGATCCATAATAGATTGTAGAGAAAAAGTTATGAAAAAAAATTTGAAATAAAAAACATGTTGGCAACGTTAGCATCAACATTAAATGAGCTACATTGCACAAATCCCTAAAGTCTAATATCAATACTCTGAATACTTGTACCAATATATACTTATATATACTAAATGTACTACATTCAAATTAACAAACTTAATTTACCATCTGCTTCTGAAAAAACAAACAAAAAACAAATGTATAATTGTGAATAAATTGACGCAGGAAATGAAGAGCCTATGCCAACTTTGTAGAGCTAGTCTGTCTTCTAGTTAAGAGGGCAGCACAGTTCCAGATGTGCAAAAGACACATTTAAATGGAGAGCAGTCCACCAAGTCTTCTTTCAGCCATAGCTATAGCAAAAGATGCTTTTTCTTAACACATCCAATTAATGCACATCATTGTGCTGTTCTATTAATACTACGGCAATAAAAACATGTTGTGGTTTAAGATAAAACCATGACAAAATGTTTTTTTTTTTTAAAGGCGCTGTTCTTTCTATAAAAGATCAAAACTTAAAATTCAGTCACACTCTAGTGCATGTCAGTAAGCACATTATGTGACCTTGTGCCCCTGTTCCTGGTTAAATTACACTACCACACACTGCCTTAAAAAAAAGTGAAATGTGTAAGAAATGAAAAGCTACTAGCGTCACACATTTTAAAACTCAAACTGATATGAATAATTTATTAATTCACATTTTACAGTTTACAATGAATTATCTCTCAAATCATTAAAAATAATCAAGATAAAAATCCTTCAGCCACCTTTTTAAACAACACAGTTTTAGCCTCTTTGCTCTTGGAAAAAAAGAACAGTTTGTTCTCAAACAAAACAAAAAGGGTCTAACTTGTAATTTTGGTCTCCGTTTCTCCGTGAGCAGAAAGAAAAGAACTGATCATCAGCCCAAAATCAGTCTCACTTTTAAAAGCAGGCTCAGTGGGAACTTGTTGGCAGCTAAAAGTCTCTCTGCTCCGGACCCTCAGGGATCCTCCGATCATGGAGCGTGGTCTCTGGGGGAGGAGGTGGGGGTTCATATGCTACAAGGAGCAGAAGAATCCTGCCTTGATGGAAGTCATCTGCCTGTAGGGTTAGTGGAAGGCATAAAGCAGGAGGAGAATGGTGCAGACGCCTATCACAGAGCCAAGGACCAGGGAGTCCCTTCTCTTCCGCAGATTGATTCGCTGGATGAGATTGTTGATAGTTGGGAAACGATCTGAGATTCAGAATGTTAAGGAAGATCAGTGATGAATACCCGCTTTATCACAAATGCATAATTAAAACTTCTGCCCTCCCTTCAAAACACTGGTTGTTAAAATGCAAGAGTAATTTTAGATGTAAAAATATTCTGCTTTGAAAAGTTACACTGAGTTGTTGTCCTGCACACACAGGGAAAGCAGGGAGGAGTTTAAAGGATACTGGCCAGGGTGTTCACCCTGCTGTGGATGGATTTCAGCATGCCCCTCTGTGAGGTCATGTTCTCCTTGGTCGACATTGCAATGCTAAAGAAAGAGACAAAGATAAGTGAGCAAGAGCCAATACTGCAACCTCTTACTAAAGTGTCTTTTTACTGCATGCAAGTAGAAATATGAGTGGAAATTCAATACCAATCTCAAAACTGTGGATGTGGAAAACATTTTTGTTAGAAAAAAAGGTAATGAAGAGTTTTTATGATCTCCATTTTTTTGGGCATCTTATACTTGCCAGATGGTACATCATCCTGATTTTCCATTTAGAACTACCATATCAAATATAACACCATTCAAAATATTTTCCTCATTCTTTCTCTATGAGGAGTCTGTTTACTCAGGGGGAGGTCAGCACATTACCCTCACTGGATAAGATCCAAATCTAGATAAGTCATTTTTTTTCTTAAGTGCATTTTTTCCTAGATTGAGGATGTAAAAGAGACATTCTGCCAATGGGACAAGACAATTTACATTTAAAATAAGAAAACACAATTGCATTGTCTTCTTTCAAGTGCATATTATCCCATATTATCTCATTTACCTACTCAAATTAAGAGTAAGTGCACCTAATTTAAGAACCGTTTTCTTATTTCTAGATAGTTAATTCAGTGCTGCACTTGAGTCATGAGGCAAAAATTTCAGCCATAAACAAAGTGTCTGTACAAGTTACCAAAAAAAGAGAAAAAAAAACATCTTAATTTTTGGTTTACTATTTCCATCAAAAATAAACCTTATTAGGCATTTATCAGTGGTTTAGGAAGCATCATTAGACTGGGATAAAGTTAAAATCATGTTTCTAAATCAATAATAAAACCTATTATAAATAGGTTTTAATATGATTATAAATGATTATTTTAAAAGGTAAACATTATTGAAGTTAAAGATATGCAAATATAAGAAAGTTTCTATAGTCTAGATGAATATAGTACAAATGTGGTTTCTTATATAATTATTTCTGATTAAAAAAAAATGCGTTTGATAATATCCTCTACATTTTAGCCTAATAAATGAAATAAATATTTTATTCCTGTTTTGAATACTGACTGTACAGCAGCCATTGCATCTCAATTTTATGCTCTGTGATATCCTCAGCTCAATTTTTATTGAGTATTGCTGTATCAAAATTAAATCCAACTTCCAGCAATTTATCATTTCACTGCACACCTAAAAAAAAAAGAAAAAAAAAACGTTTTGGCCTCGAAGAATGCCAAACATTTAGCTCTGGCTTTTAACTCCATAATAACATAAATATAGGTAGGCTATCAGCTAAACACACGCCTGACGCCTTGATGTGGGCTTAGTGACACCACTTCCTTCGTGAAGCTTTTCAAACATTCAGGACCTAATATCAGCTTTGTCCATCTACTCTGTGTGTAGATCCTAAAGAATCGAAATGCTCAAGAAAAACGTCCAAAGTCCAAAAAGCTATCAACGCAATCAATCAATTTTCTGTTATCTGCTTCCCTTCACTTAATAACACAATACTTTAAGTTTACTATGTGACAGAGCTTTTGTACAGTGCTTTAGGTTGACATAGTGGGAAGGATCCAGATTTTGATTTTCCACCTGACCAGTCACTGGTGAGGACTGAAGAAGCAGGAACTCCTCTGATTTTGGTTTCCATAGTGGACATGTTCTAGTACTAGTATGTTGCTCTGGCTCTTAAATCTCAAACATCAGCAAGTTTCAAAAGGACGAAAGTGCAACTGAGCAATTGGCAGGAAAAGTTTCTGCCAGTGTCTTTGGCATCTGTTACACACAGCAATCAATAAAAGACACCAAGCCCATCTCTGAATCGTTAACTAATGCTTTGGTGTTCAGGGAATTAGCTTCCACAAACAATATTTACAGTTTTATCCATCACCAACTGGTAATTAATTCAGATTAATATTGACCTGTCATGTAAATATTTTCAGAACAATTTGGAAATGAGACTTTAATCATGATAAAAAAAAAAACTGTAGAAGATTAAAATTCCTTCACACATAAGAAAATGGCTCCACAGAGGACGAGCCCAAACAATGAAATCACTGCAGTTGTTTATATGAATCATTGTTGTGAAGAAAAAAGAAACAGTCTGCAGAAATGATTTAGTGTGTAGAAGGTGATACGTGTATGAGTACGGGTGGGCGAGGTCCTGGCCCCCCTCCTGTGACTGCAGAGTGCTGAGGGTACAGTCTGCAGCATTGGCCTAGAGATGTGTTTTAGGGATCATGTTCCCCTCAGTCAGAGGGAAACGCTTTGCTGACTCCAGCAACCTCCACCCAGCCCTAATCACTGTGCAAACCAGCGCCTGAGAGTCAGAGGCTGGGGAGAAGGAGACACTGCACACAATCTGTTAGGAGAGCAGATCTCTGCCTCAGTTTTCCTTCAGGCCAAAGAAAAGGAAGAAAACAGCTTTTTGTTTAACCACGGTCATAGATAGACATCTTTCTAGCTGTACATTTTTATCTGCTATAAAGGTGTTTAAGCACTACTTCCAATAAAGAGGCCACATCTTACAAAAATTACATTTTTCTTCTTATTGGAAAAATTAATAAGGTACTAGTGGTGGACATTTATAGTATCTTTTATCTTTGTCATGATAAGTTTCTAGTCATGAAAAGAAATTTGACATATCTAAATGACACATTAAAAACAATGATTAAAAAATCCAGAAATTGAGTAAAACTTTTTACAGTTTTTGTTCTTTTTTTTTTTTTTAAGAAAATAATCAAACGCTATTACTACAAGCTGTTTAATAATATATTTCTTGATGTAAGTGGTGTCGATAAGAACCTACATTTTAATGTGTTCAATGTGAGAGAATTATTTGTGATCATGGGGGTATGATGGAAGTGGTAAGCAGTCACAGGTATAGATTTACCTGAGAAAAACCGCAAAGAATTAATCTTTTTTTTAATCATTACCTTTATCATTAATTAGACTCAAAAATGTGATAAGTTTGTATGTCCATATTGGCTATCTCTAAAATTGATCTAGTCTATTGCAGCTTTCAAACTGATCCTTTTAGCCGATGAGAGTTTGGTCGAGTCCTCGTTTGTTACCCTATTTGTGACGAGCTTAATAGTTTATTGTTGCAGAGTACGCTGACATCCAGGATGCTTTAGTTTGGTTTATTAATTAGCACTAGCACAAGTTATGACAGCACAGCAGGGATTAATATAGCCTACGACGAGAGATCAGTAGAATAAAATAGGAAACGAATGAATACTGAAAAAAAAAAAAAACGTGAAATGAAGCATGGAATCATGGGGGTCATGGGATTGAGTAGATGTCATGGTAAAACTTTTGATATGAGCGGGGACCAGTTAATGCCAAAAATAAATAAATATAGCTCATTTTATGGACTCCCTGTAGCCTGTTGTCTGTGTCCCTTCGTTAAAGTAGCCCTACTGTGTTGCTGTTACAACAAAATGAAAAAACTCCGGTACAGTATGTTGGATTGATCTACAGGAAAGGATCCAGCCTTTGAGTCTCTATCTAAACCGTCACAGTCAATCCATAACCCAACATAAATATCAGAAGTATCTAAAGTTTTACTTATTTACTCAAGTGTATTTCAAGAAAAGTGACAATGTGAAAATACTGGCTGATATCAGTATCTGATTATTTTGCAGTTATGGACGATAACAGATATTTATAGACATGGCATCCTAAATCTTTTTGACACCAGGAAGATAACAACCGCTTCTCTGCTTTACATACACGCCCACAATCCTTTGCTACATCACTATCACTGTCACATGACCAAAACGAAGACCACATGACCAATCTACATTATGTTCCACCATATAAATGAGACTTTCTGCACACTAAATCCCAGAAACAACATATGTTAACCAAGTATAATTAGTATACAAAGCTAAGACGGTAAGGCTTACCTTATTGTGTCATCCATCAGCCGGTCAGAGCTAAAGTTGGGAAGTAGAGCAAAGAACGTCACTTATTAGCAATAAATGAAACAATTTTAAAGCAAATAAAACTCAATAGTATAACAGCATAAACTGAAAACTCTCAGTTTATTTCTCACCACTTCACTCTGTATGAAAAATCTGAGTTAATATAAAGAGAAGGTGAAGTACTTAGTGGTGATATGACCCACAACTGATGAAGCTTTTCCCTGCAGATACAGAACAGGTGAAAAATTCTATGTTTTCTTCCCTTAACCATCCTTTTAGCCATTGTACTTTAGACTTTCTGTGGTTTTAGCTTTAAGTGATCTTCTTCCATTTTACCTCCCTAGTTGAGTTTTGCTGCAGTCATTAAAACTGCTCATTAGCTTCAAGCTAATTGCCTTTCCCAGCATGATGAACGAACCCACGCCAACCACATGCTTCCTTGTCTTTTTCTACACAAAAGCAAATGAGCCCAGAATTTAAAAAATAAAAGTCTGTTTCATGTTAGGCAAAGATTTTATTTTACAGGATTTTTTTTTATATAATAATATTAGAAGGGAAACTAATCAATAGAGACTTTACATTTAAATTTCTTAGAACAAGTTCTTTATACTTCCCTATCTAATAAACAGGGCATGGAAAGCAGCAACTCTCTAAAAACGGTGATCCACAGTCAATGTAAGTACTTGTATGTTGTATATCAACCAAGCTTTGTTGTTAGACAAAGCTCACATGAATTAACATATAACGGGCATTATCAAATAAAAATTCTATCTTCGGGACACTGACCCATCTGTAAAAACGCAATTTTACTTCTTTTAAAATCAATAATAAAGTGAAAAAAAAAACATTTTCTTGTTCAACTTTACAAGCTAAACCATGACCTGATTACTGCCTGGCCTGTAAAATAAAATAAAAAAACATGTACACATCTATGAGCTTTGAGATTCCAGCAAAAATGTGTCTCTTTAAGGACAAAAAAAGAAAACAATTGATCCTTGGTGAATTTCAAAAGAAGAGTTTATCAAATTGACTTCAAGAATGTAGAAAACAGGCATTGCTTATCACCAGGCCAATACCATCCCTACAGTGAAGCATGGTGGTGGCAGCATCATGCTCTGTGGATGTTTTTTTTTCAGCAACAGGAGATACAACAGACATGCAACAGCAACAGACTTGTCAGGATAAAGGGAATGATGAATACACCAATGAAAAGATATCATGGAGGAAAACCTGCTCCAGGCCTCAAAGGAGGGGGAATAGGACCACTGTCACTATGAATGTTGTGGAGAAAGAATCCAGACTTTATTGATATCCCATCAATCAAGCAGAGTTTCTCCCATTCAATCTAATGGAGCTTGAGAAGTTTTGCAAAGAGGAAAGAGCCCCACTGGCTAAAGATAGTTTTGTTATGCCTGTGGCATCTTATTCAAAACTTGAATAACTTGAGGCTGGAATTACTGCCAAATGTGGATCAACCAAGTGTTAACCAAAGGTTGTCAAACATTTTTGTCAATAGTTTCTTATATCTATGTATTTTAATACATTTGCAATTATTTTTGCCTTGTCATAATTCAGCATTGTGTGGAAATAAATTTATCCAAAATGATATTAAAAAAAGGTTTTACCATAAATAAAGTAGGAAAAAGTGCGCTGGTATGAATCCTTTCCAGATGTACTGTAATCTTGCCACCCAAATGATTTCTTGTTCCCCCATTTAATGTAATTTTTAGCTATAATAAAGTGAAAAGACACGGTCTGGTTAAAAAAATGGTTTCTGGAAAATTGAATGGGAGATAGGTTTAGAAAAAAACACTACAACTCATAGTTGGAACTGTAAAAATGTGCCATGGTTAGCACTACAAAACATAGTTTATGCTACAGAACAAATATCTTAAATATCCAAAATTTGATCAAATCTAGATAACCTGAGAGAAAGCAGTCATACTAACAATGACACAGCTTTATGTTGAAAACAAACAACAAACACTGAATTTGGGGTTTTCCACAGCTTCCAAATTGAAAGGATTTCAGTATTTCACTCTATGTGCAATAGGGATGGGACGATTTATGAAAACCGTCCGAACCGTTCGGTTCGACTGTCTCGGTTCGATTCGCGCGTGTTTCGTTCGGTTCATGCGCTGCTCCTTTTTCTCATAGGCAAAGCGTGTACACGTGGCAGTACTGCGACCAAAGCCAACCACCAGTAGTAAAAAAGAAGAAGCGAAGCAGCGTAGCAGAAAAAAAATCAGTTGTGGAGAATTGTGTGGGTTTGGCGAGTGGGAAAGAACAGGAGTTGGAAGACGCGCCAGCAGCACTTTATAGGTCTGCTGTATGGGACCACTTTGCATCTAGAGTGACCTACGATGACGGCGGAAAGAAAGTTGTGGATAAAAACAGTGTGCAAGCATTGTGCAACACGTTTTGTTTATGCCAACAGCAACACGACCAACATGTCAGGCTAACAATCAACATATACCGAACCGAACCCGAAAACCGTGACCACGAAACTGTGAACCGAACCAAACCGTGGATTTTGTGAACCGTTCCACCCCTAGTGCATTGATGACTGAAACACATCTTCTGCCTCCATTTATCTGTTTATTACAGTGTGTTGATTTTGTGTTAGGTTGTATTTAAAGACATTTCAATTATTGGAAAAAATTGCAGCAGGAAATATAAAATAAAAGTCTAATCAACCAAAATTTTCGCGACCCTCATGCAGTACCTCCAAGGACCCCCTAGGAGTCGCGGAAACCCTGTTGAAGACCTCTGGTCTAGAGTGTTTACTTAAATTGAAATACTGTTAGTTTTACACCGCATCCCATTCTTCACAGCATAGAATACTTTTTAGAAAGTCATAGGGTCTTCAACGTTTTTTTTTTTTTAAGTATTTGAGACAAGCCTTTGTGTTCAGCAGTGGTTTAGGCCTTAGGATACAACTTCTAACCAGTCTCTTATTTGATGTAAAAACGATGACAAAGGAAAGTCTACAGTACATATAGATAATGACATGATGTTCTAGCTTTTGTTCTTTTTAGTGGTTCAGAGTCCTGAAACTTTAACAATGGCTTAATAACCCTTTTAAAGATTTTGAGCTTCTTATCTGATCTTGAATGTTTTAAGAGCAGGTTTGTTAAATCTGAAGTTTTTTTTGTTTGTTTTTTTAATCCTACTTTATATCGTAAGTCTAGTTTTACTTTATTGATTTCTTGTTTACAGGTCAGGCAGTAATCGGGCCTGGGTGTGGCTTATAAAACGGAACTTCACTTTTTTCATGTTAACTCACAGGTAATTCATGATTTAACGAGTAAAAACATCAAGAAAATTCAAAAGATTGACAACTAATGGCATAATCTTCACCATCTTTTAATGTTTGATCTTCTGCCATGAAATGAAGGACAAAACAGTAACTTTCATGTTAATTACACTCAGTGTTCACTGGAAAGCTACTGAAACCCAAACAAACTCTGTAAGTCTAATTCTGCTAAGCTTTATACTGCTGAGAAATAAATGGGGGAGAAATAATCCATTTCAAAGGAAGTTCCTCTGATTGACTATGACCATTAGGGAGGTGCTGTCATAAGAACTTTTAATGGACCGATGTCTTCTGCCATCTGGTTTATTCATAAAGACTAACCACACACACATGGAGAAAAAGAGAACACTAAAGAAAAACACAGAGGAAAAATATGAGAAGCCATTTACATTACCCCTAATAACTAAGAGAGCAAGAGGCATTTAATAGCTCTACTGCATTATTTCCATCAGGAATTAGCAATTTTACAAAAGATTGGAGAGGACGTCCTCATACTAGTCATTCAATTTTACCTCCCTTGTTTCCATCCAAAATAAATACTATAAAATAATTTACAGGGATATAGACTAATGTTTAGTCCTGGTTGCACAATCCTGTTTTCCCTTGGTGGAATAACATAGTTGCAACGTAATCACACCTACTGCTGTTTCACAAGATCTAATAACAATCTGGTGAACATTAAACTCTTTAATTGAACCACAATTCTTCAAGAAGTTTGTGATAAACAGTTGGTGCTAAATCTGATTTATTGAGCTGAAATCTAAACTTAAAGCATCTCCAAATAAATATTAAAAAAAGATTAACAGACAAAATGAACACAAAATTAAAAGTAGAATGCTATAAGGGTGTCTAACTGATCAAACTAAACATTTGAGGATTCAGTGTCTTTCGGACTATCCTCCATCACAGTCATATGACCCTCAGATGCTCGATTCCAGCAGTTTGGCCTTCTTGCTCTAGCCTTTATTGAACTGGCTTGGCACACACCGTCTAGAATTAAAGTCTTAGTCGATTTCAACTGATTTTTTTATGTCCGAATGATTAATGCTCTAGTATTTGATTTGGTCTTCTAGTGTACAGAGATACAAAATATTCACATATGTTAATGTAATATATCTTTATCTCTAAACTGGACTAACAACAACATTCTGCTAAGTTCTCTTTATTCCTCCCCATACACACACATATACATATATATATATATATATATATATATATATATATATATATATATATATATATATATATATATATATGCATACACCAAACCTAAGGCTTAGAGGATTCGTGATTTAGTCATTTTTATAATACTTGACTGTAGACTACAATAGCTCAGCTGCCTCGGTCTATTAATAATCTGTACTCTGCCTTTGTAAACTCCTAATACTTAATCTAAGTTTTTTTTTTTTTCTCCAGTTGAATGTTTTCCTCCCATACAACATCCATAGAGGCTTAAATGTAAAACTTCACAATCAATATCTTAATGAGTCTGATGGGTTAACAAGAAAGGCTAAGTGCTGAGAATATGGAATGTGTTTAGAACTAAACAGGCTTAATGTCATAATGCATTACGATTTTCTCACTGCTAAATATAGCAATATTCCATTTTGGGTTTTAGATATCCATTTAACTTATATTGAATATTCTTAGGTAATTATACTCATTATAATTTATATAAACAACTTAAACGTGTTAATTATTATAGCATCAACATACAACAGTTAATACAGATTATTAAAAAGTAGAGAGGGGGGGGGGGGGGGGGGGGCAGTGGGATCATGAATAATTAGAATATTGGAATTTATTATTATTCCACCTATTGAAGAGGAACCAGTACACAATACAGATTAATTACATGGAAAATGATCAAATATTTTAGGCATGCTTTCCTGTACCAATAACATGGGAATTTAAAGAAATATAATTTTTTTTTAAAACAGGAAGTGAAACTTATATTTATTCATTTTTATCAGCTATGTTGTGAAAAGTAGTGGGTCGCTTCCATGGGTTAAAGGGTTGGTCCATCAACAGATTGGAGCCAATATATTAAGAAAAGGATTTTTATTTTAGGTCTGTCATTCAGTGTCTCAGAAAATTTTAAGGTCACATAAGATCAGCTGGGGGGGGGGGGAAAGGGAATTTAACAGCATAATCCAGATTCTGAATAGAATGTTCATTTGAACTTAATACGTGGTTGGGTCTCATTTTGCATCAGTCTGTGGCTGATGGTTGTAATGGAAAAACAGGTTATTTTAATAAAGGATATGGGTTAACCGCTTTGCTGTAATAATATTCCATAGATTATGTGTAGGGTTCAGGTCAGGCCAGTTTGCTGGCCAATCAGGAACAGTAACACCATTTTCAATTAGCATTAGAGTAATGCTGGTACAAGTTGGTTTTTGTTTATATGCTTTTGGTTGAACCCATGAGCACTGCAACATGCGCCCTGCTGATATTCAATTTTCCTTTCCACACAGGACACCTCTCACACCTCTCAAACTCAGAGACAGATTTCACAAAGCACATGCTGTCGACAGTTCTATGTAGTCTGCCAAATATTAGTAGGCAAACAGCAGTTTAAGATGTTATTTCACCTTCACCAGATCATGAAATATTATTAAGTATGATCTTAGCTGTCGTCCCAGTAAACCACTTGCTAGTCATACTGTAAAACCACCCCCACTTCCCCCCATTATTCAAATCAAATATCTGTAAACTCGCATCTCTAATCCAGTTGAACTCCAATTCTCCTATGATAGTAAGGCGACTCATTTTCACTGCGAATTTTGCATGTTTTATATTTTAGATTTTTGTCAAATATAACTTTACAAACTTTACAGTTCTTTTTAGGGCAGGTTTGCCTCTTATAAACTGGACTGAGCAGAGAAAAATGAGATTGTGGTCCAGTTTCCACAGGGCAAAGTCTTACTTAATAGACAGACGAGTCCTTTGCATAAACAACTTCTAATTTTTGTTTTCTTTGGTACAGCAGTCGACAAAAAGTTGGAACGTTAGCTATGTACCAGATAGTGGGCCCTGATTAAAATTACCAGCCATTGCCACAAATGCATTGGGCTGATGAGTCTATTACATGTGCCCGATGATACCATCAGCTGTTTGCATGCACCCCCCAACCCACCTTCCTTGAGTTTTCCAGTCTTGTTTAGATCTCTGTCTGCTCGTATGGTCAGAAAGTCTGCAAGATGGACAATGGACTCTGGTACAGGATCCCAGACTCTCAGGGGAGTGGAAGCCTAGCTGCTTGGGCATAGAGTTTGGAATCCTGAGGTTGCAAGTTTGAGTCCCACTCTGGGTCTGTAATCAAGACCCTTAACCCCTGATTGCTCTCCAGGTGCCCCACAATGGCAGCCCACTGCTCCCCAAGGGGATGGGTTAAATGCAGAGGTAAATTTCTCCAACGTAGGATCAATAAAAAAAGTTCAATCCTGCAGCTAAGTTTCAATAAAATTAAATATAAAATAAAAATAAATAAAACTGCATCACAGGTTTTATGGCTGGGTCCACACTCGGGCTTGGAATTCTAACTCACATTGCCCATATTGCGTGATGGAAGAGACGGCTTGAATTTCCTGCTCCTCTCTCTTCTACTAGCTCAATCACTGAATTCTCAGCACATACTTTCTACTCAGCTGGTACTGGTGATAGCAGAGGATTATTTGAGATAATATAAAAAACCAACAAAAAAAACTCGCTATGATAACACCTTATACAATTGTCCAAAAAGAAAAAAATACAATAAAAATACTTCCAGTTAAAAAGCATCCAAAACCAAAGGCAAAACACATTGGCCAAACAGGAAGGGTAAAAGGCTTCTCAAAAAATAAACCCTGGAGAAAATCTGAGAAGAACCGCTAAACGAGAAAAAAAAAAAAGATCCTTTAGGAAAGAGACTTAGGAAAATATTGAGGAGTATAGAGAAGCAACTTAAGGTCAAGATAAGAGAAGGCATGGAGGCATAGAAGACGACAGTGGAAAATAAGCTCTGGTGACAGAGGAACAGAAGTTCCTTAAAAAAACAACATTAGTATGAAGATAGCAAAACTACTCCAAGGTGCAGAAGCGCTATTCTATTATGAATATGGATAAGTAGTTTGAAATGCTTCTGTATCGCCTGAAACTGACTTCTCTTGTTTTCTTTGCATTCAAGACAATATGGTTATTTCTACATTATACAACAAAGGGCTTCATCAGCTCTTTGTGTTCAACTTGTTAGTCTTTGATACAAAAGCAGCTGCAAGAGTTTCTGGTGCATTTAATATCAGCAGCATCAGCAGAGATGAACATTGAGATTAAATGTTGAAGCAACATATCAAGATGACAGCTACAAAGTTCAAACTTGGGCACAAAATGTCTCGATGACAACAAGGTATTTTTTTTATTTTTTTTGATCAGCCATAAAAAATCTGTGTTTTTCATCCATCAAATTTTTTGTGGGAAGCTCTGTTAAGGTGTAGAACGGGCTGCTGCAAAAACAGACATAATTATAGCAGTTTTGTCTAGAGAAATGGGTAAAGTAAACCAGGGAGAAAAAGAAGGTTTTGTGTGGTTATGGTCAGTTTTATATTTGTTCTAAACTTCCCAAGATCAGTTTAAATATTACTGAGATGCACTTACTTTCTGAGATGCTCATGCTCCTTTAGAAACAGCTCTGTTCTTCTGTTGTTGACTCCTGAACCACTCTTATATGTTCTAAAATGACACAAGAAGAAATAAAAAACATTGATTGGAGCAATTTTTTTATTTACACATTGTGCCATGATATTTATATATAGTGCACTTGTGCAAGTAATATTTAAGTGTCTAAGATTCCAAAAAAAATCCAAAATAAAGATTTAACTTCCCATTCAGATAAGTAAATCCCTCAGTAAAGCTTTAATAGGTAAAGTATATGAAATATACATCATGCAATGACGTGAAACTGGAGAATTTGAGGCTCAGACAATTGAAGGTTTTTATTATTAAAAAAAATAAGACATCCTGATATAATATCCTCTGTCAGAAACTATGAGCTTGCAAAATGTCATAAAAAACTGAAGGCAGTAATAAGGAAGCAGAAACAATAAACTGTCCCTAAGTATTAAGCTTTACGTGACCAAACCAGGTGCATAAATGCATTAAACCCATTCTCTTGAGCCTGAAGTAGCTCTAGCTTACAGCGTCTCTAAACAGTTGAATACCCCACACTCTCTGTGTTTCTGTCCATTTAACACAGCCCCACCTCCCTGTTGGGAGAGAATAAGAGAAAGTGCACAAAGGGATGGAGGGAGACACATACCATCAACATCCTACCCCACCCATATAACAGAGAGAAGACCAAGAATAAATTAGCTTTCTTTATTACAAGCACATTTTTTAAAAGCCAGTGGCAAAGAAAAAAACATATTCATAGTGTCTTAAGTGTTGCCTTGAGATACGCTATCAGTAGGGCTTATGATTTTGCAGGGTCAGAACTGCCTGCACTGACAGGTTCCTTCATCTCTCTGGCAAGGCTTTTTAAAAGGCCAGCGATGTAAATCACAGATGAGTTGTCATTTTCCGCCGATGACATTTCGACTCAGAGCAGCAGCAGAGGAAATGTTACGACACTCAGCTCACACAACTGCTGCCGCTATTTTCAACACATAGCGGTGCAATGTGAGATTTAGTCTGTGAATTTAACGAGGACAATTGTTGGGCAAACACTGTTATATGGCCAAATGTGATTTTCTGGAAAGAATTGCACTATAATCATTTTTTATTGATGAATTGCACAATATAATTTTTTTCTATTTGCATAAATTCCATATTCAGTCATTATTCTTATGTTTCTGCAGCATAAACAATTCTGATCAAACCTAATACAACACCAAGATCTTTACTGCCCCCTACAGACAAGTTCAAACACTGTAGATTTTCTTTCTTAATAAAAAACGAACTATGCCTTTGGTCTGACTTATATACCAAACTCACAGTTAAAATATTTACACTATAGATAATGTAGTATCAATAAGTTTAGTTTGCTAAAAAGCCTTTTAAAAAGGAATCTAATTTTCTAACACCCTAAAAACATGTTTTTAAGTTGTTGTTATAGTGTAACATATGATTTATAGTATTTTTTTTTTATTATTTCCTGCATAACTTTATTAGCCCTAAACTAAATGGAAAAAAAAAACAGCGCTTGCTTTTTTTGTCCATTTATGTTTTTTTACATAAATAAACATACACAATTACTTGATTTGAAATATCACAATGAAATAAGCATCTCATTTCTGAAGTTTTTAGCTTCTTTTAAGGCTTACCAGCTAGTTGAGGTGGAACATAATTTTTCTTAATTACTGAACAGATAAAAAAAAAAAACATAAAAAAAAGAAATGTGTCAAAACAAAACACTATACTCTTTATTCCAGAGTCCTATGTTGTGGGACTTCTCGTATGTAAAGGTGCTTTTACTTTTTTTTTAAGTTAATAAGACTTAAAAAAAAGTTCTGTTACAGCTGTTTACCATTTCATGTTTTTTATTAAGATGAGATTAAAATGAAAAGATATTTTCAGAGAGCCAACTGCCCAAGCATTTAACTAAGAGACTCTATAGCAGCTGTCAACACTACTGGAAATCTAATGTTTGCAATTTATGTTGTACAAAAAGGCTAATCTAGCTAGAAAGAAAAAATTTACAACCAGCAAAATCAATTATTCTTAAATAAGTGAATTTCAAGAATAGATCATGGCAAGCATTTGCATACCCCAATCTGTTTCAACCACTTTAAATATAACAGTTGGTGTCCTAATGGTTTATCGTAGATGAGTGCCTGTATAAAACCTCCCAGATGTCTTGATCTTAAATGGAGTGGGATAATTAAAAATCCTGCAGTGCTCACTTTGACTTTAATGCTGCATCTCACAAATCAATATACCATTACCAAAAAAAAAAAAGCAGTAAGATTTACAGCCTGTAGGTTATTGTTTTAGTGTTCTCTCCCAGAAATTAGCCAATATGAAGAAAGGGAACACAATCTAAACGCAATGCTGAGGAGGCTATGAATCTTAAAGGCATCGATGCTAAACTAAAGAGTCTGGGTTTATCTTCCTATACGTTAAATAAACAAAAATATTGGACAAATTTTTCTCTCCATCGTTCACCCAGGTACAAACACAAGCACATTAAAGCACGTGATGAAAGAGACCCCAGGCAGAATAGCTCCTGTATCCAATCAGGAACTAATGAGGCTCTCAATGATATAGAATCAAATCTTATCACTTATAATTGCACCTACCATGGCTGCTTGGCCAAATTTAAGCAAAACTAAAAACAAAGATTGTGTTCTTACTCAATGTCTTTCCTGACAGATCCTAAAAGGTCCTCTCTTTCCCGGATGGCCAGAAAGTTGCCTTTGGTTTTGTGGAATTCATGTGTGTAATCCTAAACAACAAAAAGGAAAAAACAAAGTAAAAAAAAAACATAGCAAGAATTAAACACACACTCATACAGTGGGGTAAAAAAGTATTTAGTCAGCCACCAATAGTTCAAGTTCTCCCACTTAAAAAGATCAGAGAGGCCAGTAATTTTCATCATAGATATACCTCAACTATGAGAGACAAAATGAGAAAAAAAAAAATCCAGAAAATCACATTGTCTGATTTTTAAAGAATTTATTTGCAAAATATGGTGGAAAATAAGTATTTGGTCAATAACAAAAGTTCATCTCAATACTTTGTTATATACCCTTTGTTGGCAATGACAGAGATCAAACGTTTTCTGTAAGTCTTCACAAGGTTTTCACACACTGTTGCTGGTATTTTGGCCCATTCCTCCATGCAGATCTCCTCTAGAGCAGTGATGTTCTGGGGCTGTCGCTGGGCAACACGGACTTTCAACTCCCTCCAAAGATTTTCTATGGGGTTGAGATCTGGAGACTGGCTAGGCCACTCCAGGACCTGTAAATGCTTCTTACGAAGCCACTCCTTCGTTACCCGGGCGGTGTGTTTGGGATCATTGTCATGCTGAAAGACCCAGCCATGTTTCATCTTCAATGCCCTTGCTGATGGAAGGAGGTTTTCACTCAAAATTTGACGATACATGGCCCCATTCATTCTTTCCTTCACATGGATCAGTCGTCCTGGTCCCTTAGCAGAAAAACAGCCCCAAAGCATGATGTTTCCACCCCCATGCTTCACTGTAGGTATGGTGTTCTTTGGATGCAACTTGGCATTCTCTCTCCTCCAAACACAACGAGTAGAGTTTTTACCAAAAAGTTCTATTTTGGTTTCATCTGAACATATGATATTCTCCCAGTCATCGTCTGGATCATCCAAATGCTCTCTAGCAAATTTGAGACGGGCCTTGACATGTACTGGCTTAAGCAGGGGGACACGTCTGGCACTGCAGGATTTGAGTCCCTGGCGGCATAGTGTGTTACTGATGGTAGCCTTTGTTACTTTGGTCCCAGCTCTCTGCAGGTCATTCACTAGGTCCCCCCGTGTGGTTCTGGGATTTTTACTCACTGTTCTTGTGATCATTTTGACCCCACAGGGTGAGATCTTGCATGGAGCCCCATATCGAGGAAGATTATCAGTGGTCTTGTATGTTTTCCATTTTCTAATAATTGATCCCACAGTTGATTTCTTCACACCAAGCTGTTTACCTATTGCAGATTCAGACTTCCCAGCCTGGTGCAGGTCTATAATTTTGTTTCGGGTGTCCTTTGACAACTCTCTAGCTTTGGCCATGGTGGAGTCTAGAGTGTGACTGTTTGAGGTTGTGGACAGGTGTCTTTTATACTGATAACTGGTTCAAACAGGTGCCATTAATGAAGGTAACGAGTGGAGGACAGAGGAGCCTCTTACAGAAGAAGTTACAGGTCTGTGAGAGCCAGAAATCTTGCTTGTTTGTAACTGACCAAATACTTATTTTCCACCATATTTTGCAAATAAATTCTTTAAAAATCAGACAATGTGATTTTCTGGATTTTTTTTTCTCATTTTGTCTCTCATAGTTGAGGTATATCTATGATGAAAATTACCGGCCTCTCTCATCTTTTTAAGTGGGAGAACTTGCACTATTGGTGGCTGACTAAATACTTTTTTGCCCCACTGTATTTGTACAGCATAAAAATAACCTATAAGGGTACCTTTCAACTACTGAACTGAAATTCAGTTTTAATTTTTCTGGCTTTTTATATATATATATATATATATATATATATATATATATATATATATATTTCTCGCTACGGCAAGGAAAGCGCTCCCAAGGTGGACAAAAGAAGCGTTTCAAGGACATGCTCAAAGCCTCGTTGAAGGCCTTCAACATCGACCACAACACATGGGAGCAGGCAGCGCATGACAGAGGAATGTGGCGATCCGCTGTCCAAAAAAGTGCCAAAGCTTGCGAGGCAAACCGGATGTACGCTCTACAGCCGGATGTGGCTACAGCCAGGAAGATCAGAGCTGCCAATCCTGCACCAGATGCCAATATTCCCTGTCCGCATTGCCCAAGACTTTTCCGTGTACAGATTGGCCTGACCAGCCACCTGCGTACTCATAGACTAACTTCCCCAACCATAGGATGAATAGATGGTCCTCGTCATATCGACGGACGAACAGGAGTATATGTATATATATATATATATATATATATATATATATATATATATATATACATACAGCTGTTTGCAGTAAACAAATGCTAACATCTGTTCAGATCTGAATAGCTCCACATATACCAGGGTGGAACCACTTTGCCAAAATTCAAAATGACAGTTTTTCTTTTGGTTGTTCTTTTCCTACCAATATTGCTTTTGCGTAATATTCCTCAGCACTAACACAAGCTTATAGAGGTTCCACTGCAGGGTTTAATCATTATATGACCTTGAAAGCTTTACTATCCCATGTAATGACAACTTTAATCTTACCATTACATGGGAAAGTGCTCCCTTCCTTTCACATGCATGGATCTCCATGCTAGCTATTTATTTTCCCTTCTGTGTGGTGGCAAACTCACTTTGACCAAATAACACCTCAAGGGTTTGAGTGAGAAATTTAGTGTCTGACTTTATTAAATATGTGACCAAAATTCAGTACCTGTGCAATTTGCTCTGATAATTTGAATTGAAAATATAATTAATTTCCGAGCTATGAATGATACCATATTTATTTTCATACATCTCAGATTTTTTTTTCTCCAAAAATAGAAAACAACAGTTAACCAAAGCTTGAGATTAAGGTGGGGATATTGTCCTCTTAGAAGGATCACATTTCTCCTAGAATATCCTGGTAAAACTTAAATGTTTTTGTCACTCGTTTTAGAAAGTACATTTATCAGTCTGTAAATGTACCAAAGTCTTTATTTAATGTAATATTTGATGATTATGGCTAAGATGGTGTTTCTCATTAAGTTAGAATTTTGCATATCCATCACAAAGAATATTAAAAAAAGAAATGTTAGTTTTCTGAAAAGCAGACCGGTGAATGAACCCCAGGAGATCTGTCCTGGATTTGATCCAAGGCAGAGATGAGTTTGCGTTAGACAGGATGTGGATTGGCTGGTCCACTCCACCTGTCAGAACCACTTGGATTTATTTTAAACCACTCAGTACAAAGGAAATGATGGAGGACTTCCAGGGGGGCGTATTTCAGCTCTGCTGATCTGACCATCCTCAACAGAACTGCTCTGAATAACATAGATGTCTCCCTAATCAACACTGAAGACATTCCCTAGACCGATACAATGCACATGTGCACCATTTCAACCTATCCTTATTTGACTTCTTATACATTGGAAAATCTTCATTTAGAGTTAAGACAAAGTAAAGTCAAAAGCCTTTATGCAAAAACTTTGCAAACTTCTCTAGTTTTGAAGTTGGATCAGATCTGTAAAAAAAAATACTTGGCTTCTACTTGCATTAAAGCTGCAGTCTGTAACATTGAGAAGAGAGCAGACTTCGACTGAAAATTTGAAGAAAAACAGGTTTCACTCCACTCCCCCACCCTCTCTGCTTCACTCATGCCCCACCTCCAAGCTACACCCCTCTCACAGCATCTGCACGGCTACCGCATGCGACCAGAAGGGGGGGGGGGGGGGGCGGGATTCAGCGTGTGTGAGCTGTGATTGACACTCCATCAGACGCTCCTCTGGCTGTGATTGGTTGTTTTGACTCGTCCCGAATTATTCTTTCCAGATTGAAATACAGGCAGTATGCGGGACCAATTGAAGCAGTTTTTTTCACAGGTTACATATCACATGTACTGCTGTCTGGGCATAGGGACAGTTTTAGCCAATATGACAAAAAAGTGATTTTTAAAAACTTACAGACTTCAGCTTTAACCCCTAGAACCCTACGGACCCACCGGTGGGTCCAGCTGCTACGTGACCTCGTAATCTTAACAAACCCCCCAGTATTGATGTAAAAAACACATTTGGCACAGTTTGGTGACATTTTTGGATAAATGTGCCAAAATGGCCCCTCCGCCTAAGAAATTTCTCACTAATACCATTCTAAAATAAATATGATTCATCTGCTTGAGTCCTAATTTGGTATATTTTTACACAACATTTAGATTTAAAAGTCTGTACTACTTTTTTGTGCTATAAATAATATTTTGGTAGTGTTTTGCAATGTTTATTTCAAAGAAAATTTTGGCGAGGTTCAAAAAATGCAAAATATTTTGTATTTTGTCCCTAATATTTCAGGCAGGGTCAAAGCTACAATGGTGCGGACACCAGAAAACCATTCTATGACATCTTACCTTTACAGACGTACCAAAAGTTTCTTCTTAAATCTAATAGCTGTGAGGCTATAAGTGATTTACTTTTGTGTGTTTTTGTCAGGCAGAAATTTATTTATACCCCCTTAGGGTGTAAGAGGTTAAATTCACCAGGACACCATCAGCCTGTGGCTATGCTAATGTCTAACTAAAGTACAGGTTGTTTTGAAGCCGACCTTCAGGTCATCTGCGTTGTTGGATCTTATGTCTCTCATCTTCCTCTCTATAATAATTCATAGAGCTAAGGTCAAGTCAGTTTCCTGGCCAAGCCGCCATAGTAACACAATGGTTGTTTAACCAGCTTTTGGTGCCTTTGGCCATGTTACAGGCACATAGTTCTGTAAGAAAATGCATGTAGTATCTCCATAAAGCTTGGCAGCTAGTGTATCCATAAAGCTTGCCAGTAGAAGGAAACAAAGTGCTCTAGATTTATGAGTTTATGTTAGACATCAAAAACCTAATGGGCCGACATCAACCGAAGAAATGGCAGCAATCATAACTGACAGGAAGGTTCATAGAGGCTTTCTTTCTTTTCATTCCACTCTTTCTACAGAGCCTTATGGTGCATTCAGTCCTAACGTGGTAAACGCTGTGATTTCCGCGAGCCCCCTGGGAGTTGACTACTCTGCATTTCAGATGCAGTGTTTACACCCAGGACGGCGTAATCAAATAGGAGGAGCTTCAACTGCACAAAGCTGAGACCCCACCAACGTGGGGAAAAAACTCAGCAAATAGACTGAATGGTTATTGCTTCTTTAGTGCAGGTCTGTGCATTTAAAATGGTCATTTGTAAAATTGAAAACATAAATAAAACATAGTTTTTTGTGTATCATGTTTCAGAGATATTAAAGATTATTATTTTAGGTTCGATCCGGTCTGAACGAACCATTAAACATTCATGAAAACTTTACTTTTATCTGAAAAGAGAACTAATTAGTTTTTTTTTTTTTTTACTGAGCTCAGGAAACACAAATATATAACTCTATATGTTATGAAACTTTATATCAGTTTTAATTTCTAAAATGAGTGATGGGAAACTTAATAACCTGATTGAAATGTTTTAGATGTACCTCCTCATGCAGCAGGATTTTGTCAGGGGAAGCAATGCATGCATCACTGTCAACAGGCTCTCTTTTCCAGCATACAATTTGTTCCTCCTCCTACAGAAATACTGCTGCTGAATTGATCCAAACGTCTCCAGTTGTGATTTACTTCCCCAAAGAAAGGAATGCCAAAACCCATTGGCCTTACTCGTACAGTTTGGAGTAAACTAAAGCTGTCTTCTTTTCTGCCATCACCAAGTCTTACTGTGCATCTTTATAACTGAGAAGATGGATTTTGACCCCCTATCTGATAGTATTATGACTGCAGCCTTTGATAGTATCTTTATATTCAGGTGTCGACTCTATTTCTTTAACTTTAAGCTATTATTAGAAAGATTTAGGGCCTGTGAGATCATTATGTATTCTTTGCCTTGTAATTTTTACTTTACTTTGTGTCTAAAATAAAATAAAAGGTCACCATCAATAGTCCATTTTTTTAAGTTGTTAGATCTAAACCACACCTGTTGTATTTATTAAAGGCCTTGATTGGTTGAATAGTGCCAGATCCTGTTTGATTTAAAAATCTGTTCCTTTAAATAGACTTCTACTCAAAGGGTGAAAGACTTTGAGATCGTAGCATTTACAGTATTATACGTAGGACTATGTGTTACATTTAAAAAAAATCCTTTAGATATCAGTGTAAGTGTTCAAATACTTTATGTTTAATGCAAACAGCTTGACAAAGGTCTAAATTTGCAGTAAGGGTTAAATTCATCTGCAACTGTACCGCTTTGAAAGAAGAAAATAATCAAGAGAGAAACTTAGAACATAGAAAAAAACAAGGAGGGAAAAATAGACTGAAGTTAACCTGTAGAATATCTCTGTGTCTCTGGAGGGTGTGCATTAGTGCAGCATTAAGAGAAGCTGATCCGGGGGTGTTGGTGTATTCTGCCATTTTGTCGTTCACTCCCGTTAGCTGTAAAAAAAAAAAAAAAAAAAGGATGAAGTGAGTGGGGATAACTACGAGGCAAATTTAAAATTTTAGGACAGAAAACAGGGTATAACCAAAGCTGAACTTGTTATGTTTTGCTCTTTAAAGAGGGCTGACTTACTTTGGCCAGCAGCTGTTCAATCTCAACTGACATGGTGTCAAACATCCTGTCCTGGGTGGAGTTATTTAGCAATGGTGTGGTGTCCGAACTTCAGGGAAATAAGACATTGGGAGCAGTTAGAAAATCTTCTTATGGCATTTGTGCTTATAGTACATATTTTTAAATGTTAATTGTACTATATCGAACCTAAAATTTTCAGGTTTTCTCTAAAGGGATTTTCCTTCCCAACACTGATTTAAACTGTGGAAAAAACATACATCAAGAATGGATTGATGGAAATGAAACACTTACTGCCTGCATACACAAAACTAGAAGTCAACAATATCATTTTTAAACATTTAACTAATTAAAATACATCTCCAAACAAAACAAATCTAGATCATCCCACATCTACCAATGTGCTAAAGAGTTCCTATTAAGAAGTTGTGGTGATAGGCGGTAGCATCTTTATTTTAGGTGAGATCTGTCTAATGGACATAAATGTGTTTGACATGTATATGTGCCGTTATGTACTTTCATCACCGGAATGCTCTCTGATTAACCTTTTCGAGCAGGCCATGCAATTTAAGGCCTGATGCAAAGAAAGCCAACTGGCCTTGAAAGTTTTTGTGCCATTTCAGTACATATGTGTAATATGTGCACATGCACACACACATGCAACTATGTATAGTAAAAAAATAAATACAATAAAAATAAATTATATATATATATATATATATATATATATATATATATATATATATACACACACATTTATTTATATTAAGTTTCAAATAAACTTTTGGAATAGTTAAGAAAAAAATCTAACACTTTAGCAACATGAAACAAAATAAAACTGGACTGTGTAGATGTGAGGGGCACTGGGCTTACGTTTCTCCTCGGCGTCCATCTCTAGAGCTGCTGTAGCTGGTGCACAATTTACTAAAGGAGACCAACTTCAGGTCAAGTTCATTCTCCAACTGCCTGGCTTGCTTTCTCAGATCTGTAACACAATCAGCCAATCCAGTAAAGCATTCAATAAACCAATGTTTCATAGCAGCTGTTTACATTCGCTGCAGCAAGAAAAAAATAATTCAAATAATTCAAAGCCTTCCTTCATCATAGGTATCAACACTATCAGGTCAAGCATAACTAGATCATTTATATCAGCCGTGATAAGAATTATTATGGGCGATTGTCTTTTCATTATAGCCCCTTTAATGTCAACAGCTCGTTTTTTTTTTTTAAGAAACCCCATTCTTCCAGCTGGGTTTAGGTTTTCTTCTTCAAATGACCACATCAGACAACACGTGTCTTTGTGTCCACTTGATAAGCCGTTTTAAGCACCGTCCCAGTTTTAACAGCTTAGTAAGAGACATTAAGTTCAGTTACACGGAGCTGTGGGTTAGCTTGTTGAGGGCTAACTATTTGTTGAATGACACGGACACGTTTCAAAGTCAGAAATATTGGGCAGCAAAGCGGACACACTAACTCCTGACATTATGTGAACAGCTGCAGGGTTTGCAAGGTGTTACATTGGTTTTAAACTGGGTGAAAAACGCTGGTTTCTTACCCTCCCAGTAGTTGCTGCTTCCTATCCCAGCCATCTTTGTTTTCCTGTGACGTCACCAACTTCAAGTCAGCAGAGACGATGGGAGCGTGGGATTTTATCGCCCTCATTACGGACTGACAGGATCACTTTCTCCTTAAAGCTAAAAGCCGACAAAACGTCATTGCTAATCGCATTACACTTCTTTCAAATTGTTTTATTTGATGTATATTGTGATATATGTATCCTTGTCTTATATTATGATAATTTATTCCTATTATGACTGTGTGTTTTGGCTTCTTTTATAGCTGTCGAAACATGGACTGTTAGTAAACCCTTTTAATGCATTGCCATTATTTATAGCCACCTTAAGATTAAATAGGTTATAGTTTTAATGCTTAATAGTTCTTCTCCAAGGTACTGTAATAAAACTACTGGCTACTTGGTCTAACAGATTCTAAATAAAGCATTAGCTACAAAGAAGGTCTAAAGTAAACAAGATAAACAACATAAATCTGAACTCTTTTATACAGAAAATGGCCTTAAATTTCCCCCCCATTTTATTCAATTAGTGTTTGAGCTAGGAATTAATGTCAACATGTAAACCTGCTCTGAGGATATGAACAGGTTTTGTATGTGTCCAAAAAAAAAAATTATAACTAGGGTTCAATATAAAAGACAATTAGAAAAAAAAAATAGACCAACAAACCAGAACCCATTTAACTGAGTCTTATTATATATTGCTAGTGACCAAATATTTTATGCTGGCATACTTTTTTTCACACAAAAAACAAAACAAGCAGCCATCTCTGCTTGTGGTGTGCAGTCATTTAAATAGTTCTTAAAGTTATGTCCTGTCTTTTAATTACCTGCCTGACTATTCCTGCAATTTTCAAAATCAAGAGATTACTTAATCAAGACAAGGCAGGAAATAAGGATTTCGAATAGCCACAAAGGAGCACAAGGGAGCCTTCTTCCCAGCAGCTGTAAGACTTTGTACCCATCACTGTTCCCAATAATCTATACAAGCTGTTACATTCATGATGATTTTGCATTTTCTACCTTAGTTAGTTAAATTACATGCTGCTGTAATTTTGCACATCTCTGATGTTGCTATTTTTGAAATATCCATTACTGTAAAAATATCCATAACCATCGGCGTCGCCAGACCCCATTTACTGGGGCACGTGCCCCAGTATAAATGAGCTGTGCCCCAGTATAAATCTCATGAATATTTGCAACAGTGATACATTTTTTTAATGCATCAATTTAGATAATTCCAATGGAAGGAGACGTATATTTCTACTCAAATGCGCAGCAAGTGTGTTGGTAACTCCAAATTGAGGATGTAATAGCGCCCCCACGTCAGCGCATGTCACTGCATGAACTGCAGGAAAATTAACACGCTGCTCTCAACTGAGTTGGATGGGACACTGTGCGGCCGCGACGCATTTTTAGTTCTGGTAACGTTTCTTACCCGTCAATTTTATTATTTTCCCAGTGAAACCACATGATTATAGGCTACTAACTGAAAATTACTGCATTGGTTTGTAGATGGATATCAGGAAATTCCTCACATGAAGCAGAGACAGGGAAGCAGTAGAACAAAATGAGAGAGAGGGAGGTAAGGTCCCGTAATGAATTAGTGATTTAAGCTAAGCAGTTACATTAGGAACGTTATAAGCAATATGATAGATATTTACATAATTGTAAATTTACGTTTTTTAATGTTTGCTGTAGAGAATGAGAATGCAGGTGCTGGAGTAGGAAAGGGAGGAGGAGGCGAGACTGACAGGCAAGAGACAGATGAAGGACAGGAGAGACAGGACCATGAAGGTGATGAGGGAGCAACAACCAGCGTCCACAAACAAGAAGGGGACATTAGGGACTTAGGGGGAAAGCATGGTGGTCCTAAACAAGTGAAGTTGTCCCACTATCCCCAGGACAAATTTGGAGTAAAAAAACGTTCATTTAATTCAAAATGGTTTGAGCTTTTCCTGGTTAAAAAAGAAAGACTTGTCATCAAGGATATACAGTGTGTTTTTAACTTGCTTGATAACATCATGTTCCCAACACTAACGCAGGTCATCCAGATCTCCCTCACAATCCCAGTCTACAGATGGAGTTGTGAAAGATCATTCAGTGTGTTGAGAAAGATCCACACTTGGCTGAGGTGCACAATGGGAAAAGACAGGCTCCATCATCCTGCTATTTTATCAGTTGAAAAGGAAGAACTTTCTAAGCTGAGTCACAAGTGATTCACCACTTTGCAAAAATGCTAAATAGGAGGTACACTAAAATGCTCAAAAAATAAAAGGAAAACTTAGCTCAGGATGAGTTAAACTTTCCCCCGAACTAAAACTCTGAAACCTAGGAATTAATGATTACTTCAGAATGTGTATAAGGAAACTTTTTATTTGTCAAAGTTGTTGATGTCTTATTTTTTTTAGCTGCCATGTTGAAAATGTTCATGTTTGTTTAAACAAATATGCTCTTATTCTCATTAATATCTCAACCGGTAATTTTGGTAGGAATGTATCAGGGTTGGGCAGTGTGCTTGTCTGTATTTATGTATGGAAGGAGGGGCATATGCGGTAGGGGGCCAGTGCCCCAGTAAAGCTTTGTGCCTAGCAACGCCCCTGTCCATAACTGTATATATTTTTCTCTAGATACACAGTTTTTATATTATATTAGAATATTACAGTAGAGTATTTTATTTATTTTTAACTTTTCACTATTGTGTTATAGGGTCTACATTTGTGTGACAATTTTTTCTATAATCTTTTTGCTGCTGTAAATACCAGAATTTCCCAATTTTCCATTGTATTCTAAATCATAACCCAATGTAAATATAAAGAACAGATAAATATCTGTTTATTAGATAAGGGGCTAAATGACATGGCACCATGTGGCTTTTACCCCCCTATAAAAAACTTCTTAAATTGAGTTTTCAGCTTTTCCTCTCCTTCTAGGCCTAATAGTCTTCGGTAGCATTCTGCAGGAAAGGCATCTTTGAAAAAACAAAATAAAAATACAGCACCAAAGCATTTTGTAGACAGAACTTTTATTGTGTAGTTTTGTGAAGTTCTAGTGCACATTAGGGTAGTATGATCAGAGTTTCTGTTGAAATGTTCTGCTGCGTGTGAATTCACAGTAAACATGCATGGACCATTGGCAACCATTTACAGTTCCAGTTGTTTGTACAAATCTTCACACCAACACTGTGTGACACTTTCAAAAGATCACACATGAGGGGGCTTTACAGACATAGCGTAGGAGAAATAATTGACAAAACTGCATCTCCACACAGACGTAAAGAAATAATCTCTTGTGAAAATAGATGATCAGGATAGACTTTAAAGAGAACAAGTATGTGTTTTGTTTTGAAACAATGCACCCCCCCCCCCGTTCTGATGCGCCTTTAGTGATTTCATTACAATCCACAGTAGTTAGACCAAATGTGAGCAAATCAAGAACATTTTTGTGTGATTTATCATTTTGATTTGTAATTATTTTGGATTACATTTCTGAGATCAAAAAGTATACCAGGAAAAATAAATATATTACTATTTTAAAGCTTTCCATTTGACTCACCTTTGTTTAGAGAAACTTCCATTGCACACACACTCACCAAACCACTTTTAATTGCCTAAATGGAAAACTCTCCCTTGTGTGTTTCAATTAAATGGCAAACCAATCAAAACCAAAACATTTAGTCATTAAAAAGAACATTACTAAACAGAAGAAAATTTTGCTTTGTAAAGGAAAAATGGAGATGGTTACAATCAAAACAAAGACACAGCTCAAGGCCACCCGTAACTAACTAGAGAATGAAATTAAACATAAAGGCCGATCAATAAAAAAAGGGCATAATAAATACAATCATTACATATTCATAGCGTCTTAATCTAGCAGTCATATGCGATGGTTCCTTCTCTTGGAGTTTGTCCAACGTGGATCCAGTGGCTCAACAGAAGGACCGGTCGTGTTTTCCATTGCCACAGATCCAGCTTGCAACATAACTTAAACAGCAAATGCTTGATCTTGCTTTTTTATTTCAGACTCAAGTGAAAGATTGCAGAACAGGGAGATAGCTCAACTATACACATCCCATTAATAGAAAACGGATGCCCTGATATCTGGCAGCTTTTGTCCTCGATCCATTTAAAATGGAAATTAGGAAAACAAAGCAAGCTTGTCTTAATCCGCCGTTTTGAATTATTGGGTTATGTTTTATTCAATGTTTTTATCTTTTTTTTAATTAGTTAAAAATAAACTTATTTTTTTAAACATAGATATTACCACAGTTTGGTTGCTGTGTCCCAAGAACTGGGAGTTGGTGCCGAGTCAATGCTGGCTTATTGCTGCCAGAGACAATGTCTCAGGTGCTGGATACTACGAATTAGTGCCAAGCAAACAAGGTGAAACCAGTTTAGTGCTGAAATCGCTCAAGTTGGATTAAACCCCCTGTGTGCATTTTCCAGTCCAGGTTTTATTTAAGCTTGGCTTTGAAAAAACACAAAATGAAAAAAATCTGGTAAATCGTCTTAATCTTGCACAACTTATGAACAAAATTTTTCATCTGACCTGATCAGCTGACTAATGATAGCTCGATTCCCATCATAAATTTATGTTCTCATCTATTACAGCCTAGTTGGACTGGAAAATCTGGAGAAGCCAAGGCACAGATTTGTAAATGTCCCAAAGGTTCAGAAAGTTCAGTGCCACCACGCCACATTGGACCACATAAAAAATATATAATTTGATTTCCTACTTTGAGGCATTTTTACATTAATGCTCAGAAAAGAGACATTTCTAAAGGTAAACATGGGGTGATAAAGCACTTCCAACTAGATTCATTTGATAAGAGTTTGTTTGGACTTGGCGGCTTGAACTGTAAACTGGGCAGGACGGGATAGGCATCCTGGAATGGCCGAGAACTTTAGAAATCAAGGACAGGAAACAAGAACTTCTTCATTCACCCCTCTACCTCCAGCTCTCTCCCTCAATCATTCATGAAGATGAGCATGTGTCCAGCAGGATACCAGAGCGCTTAGACCTTAATGATGTAACAGAGAAAATGTTTACAGCACTCATTCACAGAAGAAAAGATGAAGCTGCGATGTCAAGAGTTCATTCAGCTCCTTGGACGTCAAGAATTTGACTCTGGAGGGATTTAAAATAAAAGCGAAAAAATACTTTAACGCAAGATTGATCAGATTTTGTTAGCATAAAGTGTCTCTTCATCACTTTCGCTTTCATCCTGAAACTCGTGGGCAAGCAGGGATTTCTTGGAACCCATGGAGTTAAGATGGACCTCGTCGTCATAGTCGTCACGGTGCTGCCGCAGCCGGTGGAATCCATCTTTCTGATGATCCGACTTTACTGAGCACACGCACCAAATGATGCAGGCTGTCAACACCAGCGCTGTCATGGAGGCAGCTGCAGATCAGGTAGAGTAAAGCACAATTAAACATTTCAATTAGGATTCACATGGAACCAAACTACCTTTTGTTTCAAGCCCAAAATTAACACTTCAATACAGTTGGTCGGAAATTTAAATACAATATTCTTTGCAAGAGAATCAGCTTAATTATGGTCTTTTAATGCCCATTTCTTCTTGTGTAATATTCATTTTCACTATTAGAATGTGCTGCAGACAAAGCATACAGTAAACCTTGGACAGGCTAATCTTTAACCTGAACATCATCATCTGAAATCCTCACCACTGCACAGGTAAATAACTGGTTTTGATGGGATGGAGCAGCCAGTGAAGTAAAACCAATCTAGAGACCGTCAAATTGCAGGAAGTCTCGGACTTAGTGACAGCAGCATAACTAATGCCAAAGATCTGCTGATGGATATAGGAAGACTGGTTTCTTTCCGACTTGCTATAGTTCGGTTGCAATTATGATTATAAATATAATTCAACATTCTGAACCCAGTTTTGTTTTTAAAATTCACAGGTTTATTATCAAAAACTGAACTAAAAAAAATGTTTTTCAACATGTTTGTTAAATTAAGGTAATCTCATGATTGCTAATGCCAGTCCTTTTTGTAAAGACACACACACACACATTCCTTTCTGGTTCCTACCTGCACAGGCAACAACAAACTCCCTTTGCAGTCCAAATATGCTTTTATCTAGTTCCAATACTATGAAGATGGTTGGAGCAGCTTCCTGAGGTTTCACTGTTACCTGGAAAACAACAATGAAATAAAAGTTAATTGGATCTTTTAATATCACTAAATCTTTCAATTATCACATATGATTCGAACTGGAGACAGATTTAAGGAAAAAACTATTGTTACATTGTTGAAACAGCTTTTTCTGATTTGGAACTCAAAGTTTAAATGGTAGATGAGTTAGTGTATTTGCAACTACTCAAGGGCTGAAGAATTCAGGTTAAATTAAAAGTAATCCCCCTTAGTAGTTTGGGGAGTTTTTTACATTCCTTTGCATCCTAACAGGATGCTTTTCTAATTAAGGTTTAAAAAAAGGCCCTTCTCTGTCTTTCAGAGCTCTGCTGAGAAAGCTGGTTAATTATCTAATCAGCATGTCTCTTTTACAGGTGTGTCTGTTTAGTCTAATCTGCAGCCCGTTATCTTGCAAATCCTGGCAAAAAAAAAAAAATCCTGGAGAGTTTAATAAATCCTACTATCTTCAGCTGAGAGGTAAATAACAAAATTCAAATCGAGAAGTTATTAGTTTTTGTGTTTTTAACAATACGGTAGATAAGTTTTAGTGAAGTGGTCTAAATCCAGACTGAGATGAGTTGCAAAGTTGTAGTTCTCCGTTTTTTCTTCTAGTAAACAGTCATTTTTGTACAACAAAGGAAGTCCAAATGAGTTCTCCAAAAAATTTTTTTCTTTTTTCCTTTTCAGGTGAATGAGATGCGCCCATATGAGTTGAGGCAGAGCATTAGATGCCCTAAAAAGTATGGGGAGACCATCAAGGAGAGGAACTTCTTGTTGGCTCCTTCGTGTGATTTGGAGCTAATGTTTGAGGATCGGAGTCCCCAGAAACCCCTGGATGAGCAGTACATCAGAAATGCTGCGGTTCTTCCAGATCTCTCAGATCCACCGCACAGCCCCAAAGCTATTCAGACAGAGGAGAGGACCTCCAGCAGTGCTCTAATGATCCATGGTTATTCAGTAGAAGACTTCCAGCAGACGTATCACTCTGTGGTGGATCCACTGCTCTACAGACCTAATGGGAAGCTCAGGCCTTACAGCCTTGAGTTGGGGTTCACCATCAAGGAACATCTGTTGGAAGAGCTGGCCTATCCGACGCTGCACATTTCAGAGGGTCCAGATGGAAAGGTGGAGGTGAAGGAGAGGTTCTGCGTGCTGCGCCCAACACCTTACATAGACATAGACTGTAAAAGGGATCCGTGGTAACATCCCTCCAAAGACTTTCTATGATAAATGTGGATTTTCTGTCTGTTTAACCTCTTTTTCTTAACACAGACTTTTCTTGTTGTATGAGGTAGACAAATATTTCATTTTTCAATCGAATCTGTACAATTTAAAGCATAGGAAAATAATCTCTAGATAAACGGAACAACGTGAATCTGTGCAATAGCTACAGCCCTTACTATGAACTTTTACTAGTCGGGAGCTCCTGAAGCTTCAGGTCTCAACTCTTAATTGTTCCTAAGCACAAATTCCTGAAATGGTGTTCTATGCTAAGATATTAATGAACATATTAAATGATGTAAAAACAACATCCAAACAATTCATTTTTAAAACAAATTGAGAGAGAATGTTTTCATGTTTCAGCTTTTTTTTTCCTAAAACATCTGGTGAGAAGGCATGTTAAGAAAATATAACCTTCAAAACTTCCTTCATAAAAGTCAATCTGGATCTAAATGTCAAAACTCATTTTAGATTCCTTTCATTCTTTATTTCTGTAACATGGAGGCTGGTTAAATCATGATTGTGCTAAGAAAACACTGTAATAAAAAATCCTAATTACTTTACAAGATTTAATTTTCAGAGAAACTGATTATATTAATTAGCTCTCAATAGCTGCAAGCCATAATCTTAAAATTCAAATGAACAATTAGAGAAACCACTGAAAAGCATCTTCTGTGTGTAATTAATACAAATGATTATAGCTTTTTAAACTTAACAAAATAAAGCTAATGTGCAATGATACTTTAATTTATGAGGATGCAGCTTAAATTGAAAAGCTAATACAGGTAGCCACCCGATGCTCATATTAGTGTTGTAGTGAACCAATTAGTATCAAGACAAGACCAAAACCTTACTGGGTCTTGGTCTTGTCTCGGTACTCCTTGGTCTCGGTTGGCGGGGTGTTGACTACAACACCAGCTCACATGCAAATAACTCTCAGTTTTCCTCATAGAAAACTAGAACAGTTCTATATATACTTCACAACAGCATGTAAAACACTGCGTACCACTTTATGTTGACTTTGATAGCCTTCAGCTATGATGTCAATACCAAAGCTGCCCGGTTTGACCAGGATGTGGAAGTAGCCGCCCTCAGAAGTGGAGACCTTTGGTGTTGTGTCCAGAAAAATGGTTGCTCCAACAATCGGTTTCCCACTTTTGTCCTTCACTACTCCTCGGACTCCTTTATGGACCTTAAAATTAGCAAAACACTCAAACTCAAAGCCTGTCTAACCATTAGTACTTCATTATAATCTATTAAACTGTGTGATTAAAACATCAACAATATTACAAGTCAAATGAATTTAAATTGATTTTATTATATCATGAATATTAAACATTTTAATACTGAGAAAAAATATTTACGTAAATTGCAAAAATCCTAAATACTGATAGTAAAGTCCTACCTCCACCAACATACTGAAGAGAGCCTTCTTGTTTTCCGCCCAGAGCGCGCTCAGCTGGTTAGCAGCCGGGAACAAACAGCAGCCAGTATACACAGTGATTTCAGGGCAGTGTCCAAAGTCCATACTGAAGTCCTGGAGGAACATGTGGAAGGAATGAGACATGACATGATGGCAAATAAAGGTTGGTTAATGAGTTCATTTCTCAGGTTAATAATTTTAAGGCTATGAAATGCGTAAAAGTCAAAAACATTCTGCTAAACTCTGAGCATTGCTCAGTGTGAAATGATACCAAGTGTTCAACCAGTTCACACATTAACTTTTTAAGGACTGTTATATTACCCTCAGGACTCGAATTAAATGAGTTTGGTGAAGGTAAATACATTTCGGGTTCATTCATCCAGAAGACCCTGGTATTCTCCATGGTTATCATGGCCACTGTTACAACCATAAAGACAAAAATATTGTTATACGCCGTATTTTGTGCATATATAGAGCACAAGTGGTTAAACTGGGAACATTTAACTACTGAGTAAAATCATGCAATCCTATGACCCTGACCTTCAGTTTATAGTGCTCTGAGTCTTAGTGCCATCTCCTTCTAGAGAAATGGTCAAAAGAAAGTCCCTAAATTACATTTTTGAACCCAACAGAAAACATTTCTAGGTAAGTAGAAACCATTAAACCTACAAAAGGCAAAATCATATTAAACCCACAACAAGCGCAATTCTAGCGATGTCACCGCAATTGGGTGCTGTCACTCACTTGACATGATGCCATTAATTCACGACAATCACCACTCCTGTATCTACACAGCAAAATCAAATAGGAGGAATCTCTGTCTCTTTCTTGATGGATTTAATTCAGGAAAAGCAGAACAGTGGTCCCGACTGCCTAGGTCCACCTGATCCACCAGAGATGCTCCAAGTTTGAGGAGCCCAGCAGCTACTGCTGGATCACAGTCGTACTTCTTTTTGACCAGGAAACAAAACTATCCTGCTTTGGGGAGGATTGAAGTTCTCAAACTCAGGTCTGAGCTGTAGGAGAACAGAGCAAGAGCTCGAATAGAGTGTGGCCCCCGCTCTGGAGGTAAGAAGGGACAGCAGGAGATCTAAGCAAGATGATGAGCAGAGGCAGCAGATGGCCTGGACCAGCAAATGATGAATGAATGTTTTAAAAGCCACCCACAAACCTCTTAAGAGCATCCTTTACATCGTCATATGAGAGCATTATTTTTTTTTTCATCCATTTTGACTGATAAAAGCTTAGTCTCTGCTGTGGTCCTTAAACCTACATAACAGAATAGAAATTTGCTACATTTTAAGAACTTATCGGTACTTGTATGGACTGATGGCTGGTTCCCCCAATGAGTAGAAGTTCTCTTCTTTAAGTGGGGTTAAGGCTGATTTATACATAAAAACTAGTTTGTCTGTGTAGGTGTCGCGGTGAAAACAGAGACGTCCCCGCCCCCTTTGCAGACGCTCTGCTGCACCTCTCCCAAATTGTAGTTGACCGCAGACAGTGCGGCAAACAGGAGGCCTCTGATTGGTCAAATCTACATCCGCTCTACACATGCACATTTCCTGTATGGTACCTTATTGAAGTGTTTTGTTTGTATGACCGCCCTTGCGGAATGACTGGTAAAGTTGGACCAGTTAGAAGAGCAAGGTGCGCAAGAACCCTTATTCCACCTGGATCCCCGCTCTTTTTAGCCCTCATGTCCCTCCGTTTTCACACAAACCTGGCCCCACTTCCTCACCGCCTCGGCCGTATCTAGACCCACAGCTAGTTCGTGATAGTCCCTCTTGCGGTGTGGCATGAAATAACATAACGCAGACCACGCTTCAAAATTCAGTATAATATAGGACTCAGGTGTGAACTGAGTACAGGTTAGATTTATGGTTAGGTATATGTTGTTATTGGTTAGAGTAAGGGTTTAGGTTAAGCTGCAGAAATGAATGCAATTTCAATGGAGGTCCCCACAAAGATAGTGTGGCATAATATGTATGTGTATGTGTGTGTAAGTAACTCATTACCTTTAAGTAATTTTTTTGTATGTCTTTTTTTTTTTCTAAAGAGCCTAGCTACTTTAAAAACTTGTACTGGCTTAATCAATATAACTAACTTGTCCACATTTTTCTGCAGTTGACTTGGCGCCTTTAAGATAAGGAAATACTTACCATCATGCTCCCCATGTGACTATGTAGCTCTGCTGCTTTCATCACTCCATCAGGGACGTTTCCCACTGAGTAAAATGAAAGTTGGTAGTTAACAAACAAAGTTACCTTCTATTACCATCTATTTATGCAGATGATTACAAGACGTACTTTGCCCATTGTTGTAACACAAAGTATCTCCAGGATGCATCCGTGGATGATTCTTAGCATACACCATTGCCAAGTACTTCAAATTGGCCTCATTATTCACTACAAAAACAAAGCCAACAATCACATCTAGTTTCCGATTTGCAAGCATGAAGAGGAAAAGCTTCTCAGTGCAGTGGGGATGTTTTCCTCTTAAAGTAATAAGTTCTAAAGGCATAATGAAATACAGAAGAGCTAGACTATGCAAAGTGGTATTACCGGTTTGAACAGGTTTGTTATAAGGGTAGGTGACAACCAGAGCGCCTCCATCCAAGGCGACAGACAGACTGAAGTCATTGCTTTGAATGAAATTCATCATCGCTACGGTTTCAGGCTGTGGCTCAGACAACTGCTGCGATGAGTTGCCTGTTCAAGTGGGAAAACAAAGACAAAAGAGATTCCAAATCAAGTCTATGGTAAATCAGCTGCACCGTCTCATTCCTAATCAGACGTTGACAGAAAAGTAGCTAAAGAATGCGTGTCATTAAAGCAGACCAAAAAAAGTTGTGTCAAGATCTTTGTGCTTAGAATTGGTGTGGCCCCGGTCAGATGAGCAGTCATTCTCAGTGGCCTCTTCACGTCCGTCGGGGTTGATGGAGGGCACAATGAAAATGTTGGTCTCGTTGATGAGCTGGAGAAAAGAAAACGTAGAGAGGCCATATTATACAACCATGTCAGCTTTTTTCTTTATTCAGAGCGTAACTGATATACCTTCACTAAGACTTGCAAAAATACAACATGGGGAAAAAATGTGAACATGATTTGGAGCAAAAGGAGTAATTCTGAAGCGTGATAGAGATTTATATTCTGCTCCCCTGAATCAACACCAACTTTCAGGATTGTCTCTATCAGATTGAAAGCAAACTTTTGCAGGCTACTGTATATTTAGGCTGATGCACACCTTGGTGATGGCGGGGTTCTTGCCGTAGTTGATGCAGAGGCAGGTAGCAAACTCCATGAGCAGCTCTGTTCCCACAGGAGCGTTGCCGTGGATCCCTGCCACAAAGCGGATCTTTGGTTTGGACGGCTCGGCCTCTTTCGGATTATTGGAGATTTTCAGAGCCAAAATGTTTCTGAAATCTACACTACGGCCAAGCCTAAACAAGAAAAACATGGTACCACATTATTTTAATGCCTCACTACACACAGCAGCTAACACTACGGTGATATCAACAACATTAAAGGGCTGACTATACTCCCCGCAGCAGTGTGTCGCAGTGAGCTTGACGCAGACATTTTTGATTTATGCTCAATTTTGAGTGTGGTCTGTGCTATACGTTGTTGGTCTAAATGCGGCCGAGGCGATGAGGAAGTGGGGGCAAGTTTGTCTGAAAACGGAGGGACATGGGCGAAAAAAGAGTGGGGATCCAGGTGGAAAAAGGGTCCCAGTATTCTCGCGCACCTCGCTCTTTAGCTGGTCAAACTTCACCAATTGTTTTCCGCAATTGCGGTCATAAAAACAAAACAAGTCGGGCTCCTGTCTGCGACACCGTCTGTGGTCACCTACAATTTGGGAGAGGTGCAGCAGAGTGTCTGCAGAGGGGGCAGGGACGTCTTTTTGTTCACTGTGACACCTACGCAGACAACCTAGTTTAGAAGTATAAATCAGCTTAACAGCTGCTATGTCAATAGTAGTCTTGGTAGTCAAAGGAATACCCACATCTGTAAATGTGTAATATGGGGGAAGTTAAGTTGGAGGCCTCTCAAGGAATCCTCCAGGTTTTTGGGACGTCGGTAGTGGAAGCTATTCACTGTGGCTGAGCTCTTGACCAGCTGCTCCAGGCCATGGTCCTCAGAAAGCTCCTTTATCAGGCTGTTGAGCTCCCGGTCAGATGGGCTCTGGACCAGCTGGGGAGTGGTGGCTGCGTGGTTGTTACTCTCCGAGTATAAACGGTTAAGTCTGAAGTCCACCAACTCTGGTCGATCCTTTGAGACTGTAGCGTAGATGGTCACGGGTTTATACCTTTAGAGATAAAAAACGAAAGTATTCTTAAGTTAGTGGCATTTTTTTAAAAATGAAGAGAATAAGGATTCTGGTGAAGTGCACTTTCTGAAACAATAATGTTACCCATCAGCAGAGGCGGTGACTGCATAAGTCCCAGGGACCAACAGTCTCCAGTAGTCTCCAGTATGAGCTGTTGTGACGTTGTGGTCTATTCCTTCCACGCTGATGGTGGCATTGGGAATTCCCATCTTATCTCTGTCATCGGAAACTGTGCCTTTTATTCCGGTGTGAACCTACGATGACAAGCAACCAAATGATCAGAAGGAAATGGTAATCAGTGACTGTGTGGCACAAGCTACCCTCAACAACTGTTCTTATTACCTGGTGTATGAACTGTATCAAAGCTCTCCAGTTTTGCTCCCAGTATTTTGGCAGCTCCTTAGCCAGAGGGTACTTGAAGCAGCCCAGCTCGATGGTCACCTCAAAGCAGTTTGTGTTCATGTAATTCCAGTCCTGCATTCCTCCTGCGCAAAAAAAAAAAAAATATTTGCTTAATATATTGTTTATTTATTCACTATATAATTTAATCAAAAGTTGGGATGTGGCTGATATCATGAGGAGTAAAAAGTATTTTCTCTATTGCAGACCAATCCTTGCCTTTTTGAGATATTGTACTTAAATTGGCTTGGTTATCAAAAAATATACATATTTTAGACAAATATAGATTCAGTTTAAGGGGAGAACATAATTTAAACCAACCGGAATCCCTTTAAGTCGCAGCGGAGGGATTTAGAACATCATATACAAGACCAGAATTTGACTGGCGACACCAGAAAACTTACTGTTGGAACCATTCAGAAGTTCTCATGCTAGTGTGATTTTGCTATGTTGTTCTGCTTATTTAAGTGCATCTGGATCTAAAGTAATAAAATTATGGTCTGGTATTCTACTACAGATATCTTACCCCAGATTGACCAGGTCACATATCTTACACAAAAATATATATATTTTTTTTTCTATCAGTACATAGAATATCTTCCCTTAGTCCTTTAGAACAACAAAAAGTGTTTTTGATGAACATGAGACTGGCCAAACTATGCTGCAGTTTTCATCTAGAAACTTTCACTCTGATACCATTTTTGCAGTTTCTTTATGTTTTTTTTTCTTGTTTTTTCAATGGAAACTGACCTCATCTAAATGGGAATGGCTGCTTCTGGACAGCTTTTTATCTCATTAATGACTAAAATCGACACTTTTAAACTGTATTTTATGTTTACTTATTCTATCATTGTTTGAAATTAAAACTAGTTTAATAATACTAAACATTCAGATGCTAAAAGCAAATATAGAAGGTGCAAATACCTGTGAAATATCTATCAATTATTCTAGTCAATTCTATTCACTGTTTCCCAGAGTGTGCAGAGCAGGTTGACATATTGTAGCTTCTAGACTCTGGTAATCATACATTTTCTATATCATTCCTGTTTATTAATTTTAGGATCTATGTTGAAATGTAAAGCTTCACAAGAGCCAGCTTTGCTCAATAAAAGAAGGTGTGTTTTTGTTTTTTTTTTAGTTGTCAAATTCCACAGTGCATCAGGCACATGATAGTTCAAAACATGGCAGCCATAAGCCACTGCACTGCAAAAACGATCTAGAAATAAGTAAAAAAAAATGTATTAAATTAAGTGTATATACCGTATTTTCACGACTATAAGGCGCACTTAAACGTCTTTTTTTCCCCTCAAAATGTGCGGTGCGCCCTATGGTGCGGTGCGCCTTATGTGTGTTGTAACTGCGACTTTTGAGACCACCTCATTGAGGAGATGATGAAAGAGTGGCTGAATGTAAGGAGACCAGGTGTTTTTTTTCCACCCCTCACCATCGCTGTTAATATGTAACTCCATGCGTGCCCATCTCACAGCTGATGTGAAAAACATGGGGAAACAAATTAACGCTGCTCGACATCGGTGTGAATCGGACCCAGCAGGTGCAGCAGAAGCAGCGAGTTTACATGCAAAGTCAATGGTTGACGCGCATATAGGTGCAGCAAAAGGTCCCGCAGCGCATTTTGGTGCAGCACGTCGGGAGCGTTTAAGCATCTGAAGCGCCGGCTTCTGCTGCTTGAGATGGAAAAATTGAAGTTTTGCTGCTGGACGCGCCGCATCAACCAATCAGAGAAGCTGATCTGGGAGCTGCCAGCGAGACAGACAGCGCTCTGATGACATATGATATTAACGCAAATGGAAAAGGCTGGATGGATGCGTGGCTGAGGCAGGTGTATGTGAGAAGACTAGGTGGTTTTTTCCACGCATCACCATCGATGCGTGCCCATCTCACAGCCGATGTGAAAAAAAGGTGAATCAAATGAACGCTGTGCTCGCCGTTATCCCGGGGGTCTGACAAAGGAGCTTCAACCGCTCGACATCGGTGTGAAGCAGCCGTTCGAAGTAAGGCTGCGAGCGGCGTGGGAGGGATGGATGACCGACGGAGACCACAGTTTCAGGATAAGAAGGCAGCGCCGGGCAGATTACGCCACAGTTTGCGGATGGATTGTAGATGCTTGGACTAAAGTGTCTGTTGGCTCTGTTGTTCAAGCTTTCGCAAAAGCCGGCATTATTTCTGAGGAGCCGCGCTGCACGGAAAGTGACTCTGACAGCGCAGATGGGGAAACTGGCATGTCTGATTTAGCGCAGCTGTTTTATTCAGAAACAGAGGATGATGACTTTGATGGGTTTGATTAATACTTTGTAATAAATACATGAATAAAGCACAGTCATACTCAGTTTTGCTCCCGCTGTATTTTTCTCCCTGAAAACTTAATTCAACAGCAGCCCCGGCGCGTCTCCTCCTCTTCATCGCGGTGGCTGGCAGGTGTTTTTTCATCTAAATAATCTAAATCTTGCAGCTATATTTGCTGTGATCAGTGGGAATAAAGTAGTTTTAATATGTTTTTAAGTGAGAAAGTCCACCTGAAAACGTAATAATTGCAGTCAGTTCATCCAGATTATCTATTTCTGTCGGAGGCGCTCAGACCCCCACATACCAGCGGTGCGCCGACAGGAGAAATCCTTTCGTTCACCGCGGCTGCTTGCAGGTGTTTTTCACCTAAATAATCTAAATCTTGCAGCTATATTTGCTGTGATCAGTGGGAATAAAGTAGTTTTAATATGTTTTTAAGTGAGAAAGTCCACCTGAAAACTTAATAATTGCAGTCAGTTCATCCAGATTATCTATTTCTGTCGGAGGCGCTCAGACCCCCACATACCAGCGGTGCGCTGACAGCAGAAATCTCTTCATCAGCAGCCTGTAGGCTGGGCAGCCTGGTGTTCACCGCGGCTGCTGGCAGGTGTTTTTCATCTAAATAATTTTAGCTGCAGACACCAGGATACCGGCAATAAAAGCGAACATATTCCGTCAGCAGGTTTCAGGATTTTAAGTTAATTTAGGAGTGACCACAGCGCTGTGTCATCTGCGATGTCTCTGTCTCACGGCCAGCTGCCAGGTTTGATTAATACTTTGTAATAAATACATGAATAAAGCACAGTCATACTCAGTTTTGCCCCCGCTATATTTTTAAATACGCAGTAGAGGTATTTAAAGGTAGTAGAGGACTTGTACCTGTATATAAAAAACGCGCCCTATAGTCCGGTGCGCCTTATGTGTGTGTTAAATACAGAAATGGGACACATAACTGAGAGTGCGCCTTTTAGTCCGGTGCGCCTTATGGTCGTGAAAATACGGTACCCTTAATTTGAGAAGATAAATAAGATGATTTGCCAATAGAAGGAGTATTTTTACTCTTAAAATAAGATAACTAGATAATGTGCACTTGAAATAAGACAATGCATTTGTTTTTTCTCATTTTAAATATAATTTGTCTTGTTCCACTGGCAAAGTGTCTCACTTACCTCCTTAATCAAAGAACAAACGCACTGGTTTTAAGAAAAAAAAGTGACCTATTAAGATTTCCATTTTTTGCAGTGTGAGGAAAGGATTAGACAACAAAAAATAGAACTTAAAAAGTGAAATCTAGAATCTTGAGAAGGAAATGCAAATGGTGTCAAACGGAAAGACCTTAAATGAGCTCTTAGACTTGAAGGCCTACCAGAAACAGAGTACCACCTGGCCCCATTAACGATGCCATCCTCAAAATGTTCCTCAGGGTACAGGTCCTCACAGGGATGTCCTTTGTGCATTAGAGCATTCTCCTGTAAGCACATTTAACACAAACAGCAACTAAACAATGGCTTCAATTGTAATTACGTTTTTAAAAAAAATCCCCTACAGATGCAAAAGAAATACATGGCTCTGCTTAAGAAATCATTCTTCCTTTAATGTTTAACATTTTTAGACGGGGTATCATCAAATAACACAGAGCTCTTAGCCAGGAGGGAAGATATGGGTTTTATAGAGTCTTTTCTTTTACATAAAATAAAAAGGTAGGCTTTCATATCTGGTCCCATGTAATATAACAGCCTTAGATATAATCAAACTTATTCTCTTGTAATTATTCTTAAAGAGATCTTGGGAAGCTTACAGATTTGAAGAAGAAAACTGCGATATGAAAACACCCGCAATGATTCTCTACAAGGGGGCTTGCATAGCTCTGACTGAGGTAGACCCCTGGTTAAACAGTCTGGTTTGCCCGACTTGGAATAACACAGAGAGCAGGCAGGACATACTCTTACATACAAACTAAATAAAACATTCCAGTAAACTCAATTACTCCATAACAGGAGTTCAGAAGGACAGAAAACTCATGAAGTACAATAGTCATCCTCCAGAAAAATTATAATTCAGCTCGCTCTCCGAGAATCACCTCTCACTGCCTCAACAGTTCCTGTATAAACCGCCCCACAGTCTTTGTTGGCTTGTTTTTATTATCTTCAAACAGAGTTGCCTTTATATTTTGTATATATTAAAATACTCCATCTGTTCTGGTTATAGAGATCCTGCGCAGGTTGGTCATGAAGTCGGGCTTTGCTTTGTAGCCGTGCCGCCTGTTTTTTTGTTGTTGTTCTTTTCACTTTTCATAACCCGTCCAGGTCAAACGTGGGACATTGTTTCAATTTCAGGGACATAGAGACAAAGGAAAAATCTGCTTCCCTAGGCATTGTAGGAGTCCCACTATATACACTGAAGTCAGTGTGACATGAGGAAAAGAAAATAACTAATCAATCGGATGAATCTTGGATTAAAAAGCCAGATGCTGTGTGAACCAGGCCAATTATCCTCTGACTTGTATCGATCCATCACATACAACCGTAGTTCAGTAGAATTAGTTTCTATTGCACAGGTTTATTCCAGAACAAGAAAATATAAACTTAAATAAAAGTAGAAGATATTATTTTAGCCAGAGATAGATTCAGTTACCTGTGAGTATGCTTTGGCCACCTGCCTGAAAACAGCGTCATCGGGTGACTTGCTATAATGACTCAGACCATCTTTGTCATCATCGAAGGGGTAGTTGACCACCAGGGAGCCTGGACGTCAGAAAAATAAAGTCAAACGAGAACTGTAAATATTTCAACTGTTAGAATAACCAACAATTAAAACTGTAGATCTAAACATTAAAACAAAGATAACAATGGGAAAAAAAAACAAAAAAACAAAAAACAGAAAAGTTGTGACTTAAAGGTTTTTACACCGGGAGACTTATTTACCTCCGTGGAGGTTTGCAGACAAAACAAAGGGGATGCTCTTCAACCAGTTCATGACAGCTATGGTCTCTGGCTGCCTGGGTTCTGTGATGGTGACGAACTGGTCTGGAAAGTTACGGTTCAGATCATAATCGTTGCTGTTGTTGCGGCCTCTGTAGCCCGTCCTGTCACCTGCGGGGAAGCAAACTCAGCTGATAAGTCACTGCAGCTTATCGGTCACAGAAAGCAAGTTCCTTCTTGAATGTACATCCTTCCCTTTTCCTTTCCTTCAGTATTTCTGCAGTAATTATTGAGTAAAGGATGTTGAGAAGCTAAAAAATAAATAAATAAATAAAAATGTGTATTTAAGAAAACATTAAGTCCCATCACCTCTATTAAGTATGGTTGTTGTTTATGGTTAAATTCATGTCATTCAGCATGACATCATAGGTTATGCATTTACTAGCATGCCTCTGTGTAAGAACAGTAGTCATTCTCTCCTCCCTGTCCATCCTTACCGTATTTTCACGACTATAAGGCGCACTTAAACGTCTTTTTTCCCCCTCAAAATGTGCCGTGCGCCCTATGGTGCGGTGCGCCCTATGTGTGTTGTAAATGCGACTTTTGAGACCACCTCATTGAGGAGATGATGAAAGAGTGGCTGAATGTAAGGAGACCAGCTGTTTTTTTTCCACTCATCACCATTAATATGTAACTCCATGCGTGCCCATCTCACAGCTGATGTGAAAAACATGGGGAAACAAATTAACCCTGTGCTCGCTGTTCAACCGCTCGACATCGGTGTGAACCGGACCCAGCAGGTGCAGCAGAAGCAGCGAGGAATAACGTGTCTGCTGGCTCTGTTCTTCAAGCTTTTGCAAAAGCAGGCATTATTTCTGAGGAGCCGCGCTGCACGGAAAGTGACTCTGACAGCGCAGAAGGGGAAACTGGCATGTCTGATTTAGCGCAGCTGTTTAATTCAGAAACAGAGGATGAGGACTTTGAGGGGTTTGATTAATACTTTGTAATAAATACATGAATAAAGCACAATCATACTCAGTTTTGCTCCCGCTCTATTTTTCTACCTGAAAACTTAATTCAACAGCTGCCTGTGGGCCGCGGCGCATCGGGACTCACCTCCGCAGGTGTTTTTTCATCTAAATAATCTAAATCTTTTTAAGTGAGAAAGCCCACCTGAAAATTTAATCATTGCAGTCAGCTCATCCAGATTATTATCCTGCCTATGTTTTAAGTTAATTTATGCGTCAATAAACGAAGAAGAAGGGGAAACCGGCATGTCGGATTTAGCGCAGCTGTTTAATTCAGAAACAGAGGATGAGGACTTTGAGGGGTTTGATTAATACTTTGTAATAAATACATGAATAAAGCACAATCATACTCAGTTTTGCTCCCGCTCTATTTTTCTACCTGAAAACTTAATTCAACAGCAGGCTCTGGTCCACGGCGCATACGGACTCACCTCCGCAGGTGTTTTTTCATCTAAATAATCTAAATCTTTTTAAGTGAGAAAGTCCACCTGAAAATTTAATCATTACAGTCAGTTCATCCAGATTATTATCCTGCCTATGTTTTAAGTTAATTTATGCGTCAATAAACGAAGAAGAAGGGGGAACTGGCATGTCGGATTTAGCGCAGCTGTTTAATTCAGAAACAGAGGATGAGGACTTTGAGGGGTTTGATTAATACTTTGTAATAAATACTTGAATAAAGCACAATCATACTCAGTTTTGCTCCTGCTCTATTTTTCTACCTGAAAACTTAATTCAACAGCTGCCTGTGGGCCGCGCGGCGCATCAGGACTCACCTCCGCAGGTGTTTTTTCATCTAAATAATCTAAATCTTTTTAAGTGAGAAAGCCCACCGGAAAATTTAATCATTGCAGTCAGTTCATCCAGATTATTATCCTGCCTATTTTTTAAGTTAATTTATGCGTCAATAAACTGTATCAGAGGAGTAATCACAGCCCTGTGTCATCAGCGATGTGTCTCTCACGGCAGGTTCCCAGGTTTTAATAATACTTTGTAATAAATACACCTTGCAGCTTTATTTGCTGTGATCAGTGGGAATAAAGTAGTTTTAATATGTTTTTAAGTGAGAAAATCCACCTGAGAGGACATGTACCTGTATATAAAAAACGCGCCCTATAGTCCGGTGCGCCTTATGTGTGTGTTAAATACAGAAATGGGACACATAACTGAGAGTGCGCCTTTTAGTCCGGTGCGCCTTATGGTCGTGAAGATACGGTAAATAACCACCTGACCATCTTGGGCTGAAGGTTTTATACTTCATACACATCATCCCCTGAGTTTCAGCCCTCATGTCACTGAATGTTTAGTTTCATCTTAGCTGGAGATCTAATGTTTGTATGCAACAGTATTGGATGGATCAGATATGTTATAATTGCTACACTTTGATATCTTATTGAAATGCAAGGCTGTAATGCAGTGCAAGTGTTCGAGGAATATTACTTACCTTTGACCATCTGAAAGCGATATATTTATCAAAGATGCATATAAAAAGTTCTTAAGTCACATAAAACATAGAGGTTTGGTCTCCAAAAGGTTTCGATTTTATGCTAGTCTCTACTTCTCTTACCTTCCACAGCGACCTCATAGCCATCAGGGTTCATGGAGGGCATGATGTGAATCCGAGTGTTGTTCACCAGCTGAGTGACCTCAGGGTCGGTACCATAGTTATGACACAGATATTCGATGAGATTGAGCAGCAGCTCTCTTCCCACCACCTCATTTCCATGCATGTTGCCCACATACTTGAACTCTGGTTCCCCTGAAAGAATCCAGGAGATAAAAAAAAAATTCTTGTATTAACAATAGAAATGAACCCTGTGTATCAATTATTGAAAATGAATAACTAAAAGCAGCCGTTCTCTGGACACTGCAGTTTGCCACTCACCATGCTCATGAACTGTCGGGTTGTCAGAGATGACCATCACGTACAGCTCTCGGTCTTGGACGGAGCGGCCGATTGAGTAAAGGTGGGTGATGGGGGAAAACTCGCTGTTGTATTTGCGTAAGAAGAGCTCCATGTCTGCATAGTTGTGGTGACGGAAATACTTAGGATGGATGGGCTCATGACCAGGTGGAAAGAACGGAGGGGTGCTGGCAACAGCCGAAGTCTGGGTGATATTGGAGGCCTTTGTAGCAGGAATGACGAGGTGACTGGTGGATGGAGCCGATGTTGTAGTTGTGGGGGTTCTGCCTGCAGCCTCATTGACAAAAGGCCGTAGTGTAAAGTTAACCTCAGTGGGTTTCCCATCAATGATCTGGACATCGTTGACTGTCATTGATAGGTACCTGCATACAGGGAGAAAGGCACAGGGAAATCATGCATTCATATCGACAGCAATTACAACCAAGTCAGGATAAAAACAGGGTGCTCCCTTTAGATTTACCAGGAAGTTCTGCACTGAATTCACCTACTTAACCAGTTACTCTGTAACTTTTAAAGGAAGTAAGATTTAATATGCTTGCAAAAGCCTTCACAGTAATTAAACCTAAAAAGTTATCCCATTAGAACTACAAAATATCAATATCTTCTCATTACAATCCAGAGGTCATGTAATAAGCTTTATTTAGCTATACATGGTTGACATCCCCTTTGCATTAAAAATTTGAAACAGAGTTTTTGTGTTTTCACTCATTAATGCACTTTTACTGAATAGTCTCAGTCTGCACCAACTGTGGAATGTGGAGAGCCTCACCCTGGAGCCACAGCCGTGATGTTGTACGTTCCCGGGAGCAGAAGGCGGTAGAAGTCTCCAAATTTTCCTGTGGTCAGGTTGTGTCGGATACCAGCGACCACAATGCTGACGTTGCTGAGGGCGCCACCACTGACTGCATCTTTCACAAAGCCACGGGCGCCCATGTGTACCTTTAAGAGAATAGCACAGGGTCTTAAAGATCAGAGATTTAGAAATAAATAAAAAAAGTGCTTTAATGTCCCCGTTTCAGACTAATTCCAGGCATAAACAAATTTTATTTGTGGTCCTAACCTTTTCCATGTAGGCCAGAAGAGACTCCCTGTTCAGATCCCATTCCTTGTGCAGCTCGGAAGCTTTAGGATATTTGCAGCAGCTCAGCTCCATAGTAACTTCCAGGCAGTTCCCATAGAGGTAGTTATAGTCCTGCATTCCTCCTGAACAACAAGACAGCAATGTAAACATAAACATGCTACAGTATAAAAACACTGTTATCACACTCTGAAACTGGGGGATTACAGAAAGTTCTGGTAAGGGCTGTTTTCCCAATGAGAAACCTGCAGTTTGCAGGTCTGGTGAAGTGAACAGCAAGAAACACCAGAGAACCGACTAAGGCCGACTATCTTTGCGGAAAAACCCCGGAGTAACGGAGGTATAGAGGGCGAAAGGTGGCCACAGAAACCGAGTCAAAGAATAACAAACTTATTAAACAATCTCATCAAACGGAGTCAAAGACTGAACATTAAGAAATTACAACTCACTTCTATCGTATGTACTGAGATGCAAACTAAAAGTTAAAGTTAAAACCCTTTTGTTTAGACTTATTACAGGGAAACATAACTTGGGTATCATTAGCTGAATTTCTGTTTCAACTTTTATTTAATTTACTACCTGCTTTATCTTTATGTTCCTTTATTTTCCTTTTATTTTATCGGGCAATTCATTTTTAGCACAATTTAAAGTCAACATATTCCTTTTTTTTATCTTTTTGACGGAAAACATATTTTGACATCATTCTAGTTTTAAAATCGGTGACTGGAAGAACAAAAGAGACCTTTAATTCTCAAAAAGCATAGGTATTATTGGAAAAAAATATCCTAAATTATGTTTAGGAGAATTTACTGTTGTAACAAAGATAATTAAAATAACCTGCTTGCTAACCCATCAGTTAAAGGAACCAGACAACAGCATGAGTAAACACAGCCTGGGTACTTATTTGAAGTAAGGGTGTACTACAGTTAACCTTCAGGACACCTTTGAGACTCTGAGGAAACAGACTGAGCAGGTTGTTACGGTAACCAATCCAAATATGGCATTTTAAATATCTCACCTATAACTGATGGGGTAATAACAGTGGATCTATGTTCAGTACTGACAGCAAAATGCAACTGTTGAACACAAAACTCTGAGCAGGAGACATTAACTTTTGTCTCTGGTTAGATTACACCAACTGCCACTGAAGCAAATCCCTAAAGTAAAAAACCTGCACAAACAAAGTTTAACAAACACAGGCTTAAGAGGCTCAGGTTTAAATATCCTGTTTAAATAGGCCCGCCCCAAACAGAGCAGGAAACTACCGATCAGACAATGAAGCCAAAACCTGAGCGACGCTGGGGTGCCGATTACAGCAGGATGTCGGCGGCGGTTTAGCACAAAAAAAAAATCAAAGCTGGCAGCCATTGACAGAATAAGAAAAACAACACAGATTAGACCAGATTTCCCTTGGGGTTCAAATTCAGTATAAACTATTGAATAAAAATAATTGTAAAGACATTTTACACTTAAAAACGTACGGTTTAAGGAAGTTAAATTAAAATCAACCCTTGCATTTAGTTTTAAATCCATGTACAGGTGAAGGGAATAAAGGTTCTTTGTAATTAGTCAACAGATTATGGGTTATAATAACATGAATCACTGTGAAAAATGGAGGTGGGTTATTCTATGAGGATCTGGCAGCCAAACAAAACCATCTTCTGTTCCTGTCTCTCCCCCAGGCCACTTTGCATGGGCTTCTCATGATCTCACTAGGCGCCGTCTTCACAAAGTTTAACTTACAGCTGCTGGGTCCAGATTTAGCTGGTATTTAGTTTCTAAATGATTGTATCTTTACTATGGTGCAGATGTCACTGAGTCACACTAACAGCAGGATTCCGAAAGTGACCGCAAAACAATCAACTCACTGCATAAATTCTGAATACATAGATATGTGAAAACAATATATATATATATATATATATATATATATAAAAATCTAGAATTTATCAAGAAAAAGTATATATTATCTAAATACATATTATCTTCACCACAGCTTTCATAATTAAGTTTTAAATGAATGGTTTATATACTGAATATTTAACTGTGAATTTAATTTTTTGACAGATTTCTATAATTAGCTGTACATTTTGATATAATTCAGTGTTTTAATTTAGCTTTGATCAAACACCATTCTTGTCTAGGTCTCTCTTGAAATAGATTTTTCATCCCAGTAAGATATACCTGGATAAATAAAGGTTTCATACATTCATACATTTCTATTTGATAAATAATCTGCTGGGTTATGCACCTCTTTCCTCCAGTAAGACACAATATATACAATGTTAAGGTATAATCTGCAAATTTCTTGCAAAGTTTTGTTTACAAAAAATGTAATTGTCAACTTAAGATTGAGATGGTGAAATAGTGTGAAATATAACAATGAAGAGCTGCAACATTGAAATGTGCCTTTTAAGGCAAAGTACATTAGTAAATTAAGTAAAAACAGATTAAATTTACAATTTCCAATCCAAAAATTCCTTGTACGTGAACTATAAAGACTACTTGGGGGAAAACAGGTGTTTATTTTAAATTTTATTTTGATAAATCAGGTATTATAGATGTATATTGATGATAACAAAAGGACAGAATGATTGGACATTAAGTAGTCAGGATTATTGATAAGATTTGGTAAATACAGGTAACCTAGCTAGAAAGGTGAGGGTAATATAGAGGCTGACAGATAAGCTGCTTCCAGAGAGCCATGTTTTTATGAAGGCAATTAAATCAGCTGATGCATAAGGAGTCACCTCCTGAACAGCTGTCGTTCTGAAAACTTATAACACAAGGCATCACAAGAGGAAACTGGAGACGCAACCTGAAACTGCAGACACTTACGACACTGCCCTGCAGAAGCCAACGACACAAAAGAGTAACACATGATTGTTGATCCAGTTTCAGGCCTCAAGCACACAGCTGTAACTGTATCCAAAATGTATGTATGTGTATATATATATATATACACTATATTGCCAAAAGTATTTGCTCACCTGCCTTGACTCACATATGAGCTTAAGTGACATCCCGTTCCTAATCCATAGGGTTCAATATGACGTCGGTCCACCCTTTGCAGCTAGAACAGCTTCAACTCTTCTGGGAAGGCTGTCCACAAGGTTTAGGAGTGTGTTTATGGGAATTTTTGACCATTCTTCCAGAAGCGCATTTGTGAGGTCGCACACTGATGTTGGACGAGAAGGCCTGGCTCTCAGTCTCCGCTCTAATTCATCCCAAAGGTGTTCTATCGGGTTGAGGTCAGGACTCTGTGCAGGCCAGTCAAGTTCATCCACACCAGACTCTGTCATCCATGTCTTTATGGACCTTGCTTTGTGCACTGGTGCACAGTCATGTTGGAAGAGGAAGGGGCCAGCTCCAAACTGTTCCCACAAAGTTGGGAGCATGGAATTGTCCAAAATGTCTTGGTATGCTGAAGCATTCAGAGTTTCTTTCACTGGAACTAAGGGGCCAAGCCCAGCTCCTGAAAAACAACCTCACACCATAATCCCCCCTCCACCAAACTTTACACTTGGCACAATGCAGTCAGACAAGTACCGTTCTCCTGGCAACCGCCAAACCCAGACCCGTCCATCAGATTGCCAGATGGAGAAGCGCGATTCGTCACTCCAGAGAACGCGTCTCCACTGCTCTAGAGTCCAGTGGCGGCGTGCTTTACACCACCGCATCCGACGCTTTGCATTGCACTTGGTGATGTATGGCTTGGATGCAGCTGCTCGACCATGGAAACCCATTCCATGAAGCTCTCTGCGCACTGTTCTTGAGCTAATCTGAAGGCCACATGAAGTTTGGAGGTCTGTAGTGATTGACTCTGCAGAAAGTTGGCGACCTCTTCGCACTATGCGCGTCAGCATCCGCTGACCCCGCTCCGTCAGTTTACGTGGCCTACCACTTCGTGGCTGAGTTGCTGTCGTTCCCAAACACTTCCATTTTCTTATAATACAGCTGACAGTTGACTGTGGAATATTTAGGAGCGAGGAAATTTCACGACTGGATTTGTTGCACAGGTGGCATCCTATCACAGTTCCACGCTGGAATTCACTGAGCTCCTGAGAGCGACCCATTCTTTCACAAATGTTTGTAAAAACAGTCTGCATGCCTAGGTGCTTGAATTTATACACCTGTGGCCATGGAAGTGATTGGAACACCTGATTCCAATAATTTGGATGGGTGAGCAAATACTTTTGGCAATATAGTGTATATATATATATATATATATATATATATATATATATATATATATATATATATATATATATATATATATATATATATATATATATATAAAACTGTCAGAAAAAAGGAAAAAAAGCAGGTTCCGCTGTAAAAGTCAGGTCTTCATATAACGAGTCCTCAACACACAATGAATAAAAGTGTGTGCAATATATCATTATTGCAAATGCAAAACTGGACATTCATTACATCCCAAGTGTTGGAGTGGTGAAGATGTTAAGGATTTATAGCCCCTTCTATAGGCATTACAGAATTCATGATAAAACCGTCTGATTTCCTAAAATCTAGGTTTAGGAAGAGGGATGAAATTTAATGTTAAATTCCTGGCAGTGAACTAGTTGGATTGGCCGGTCAATATTTAATCAGCTCAGAGGAACGCTGCCGTTATCATGTTTAGGAGTTACAAGTATGAAACATAAGAAAATCGGATCATAAATAATTTTTTTGCAGAGAAGATGAGTGTTCTTTAAAATACATATTCCTGTTGCCAAAAGCCGTCCGAGTCATGGCAAATACATCAAGAAGCACTTTTCTATAGCCGTCATCCAAGTGACCGGGCCGCCTTTTACAGCTGCTTTTTGTATCTCTGCTTCTATCTCTGAACCCCAGTCGGCCTCGGCAGATGGCCGCTCACACTGAGCCTGGTTCTGTTGGAGGTTTTTTCCTGTTAAAAGGGAGTTTTTCCTCTCCACTGTCGCTATAAGGATGCTTAGTGTGAGGGATTCCATTTGAGTCAATGAGTCGATGCAATCAACTGGTTTTCCTTAGATAGAAAACTTTGAATCAATTTGACTGTATGATCTGGTGAACTGTAAAGCGCTTTGAGATGACATGTGTTGTGATTTGGCGCTATATAAATAAACTGAATTGAATTTAAATGAGAATTTTAAGCAGGCTCATAAAAATAAAAAAAAAAATAAAATGAGAATTTGCAGCTCTTCCATTTGGTCTGAAGCAAATTAACCAAGTAACGCAGAGCATAATGTCGTAATAGTCGTTGTCCACATTGTATCGTCGAATATGGGTGTAATAAACAGGAAGTAGAGGCTGCAATCTAGCCTGGACAACAGATCAGTAAGGGTGGAACGTTTCAATGAATGAGTTTCTAGCAGGCGAATTGTTCTGACGTTAGTAATGGAGATGTTAGTCTGGCTATGTTTACATACATAATACAAACATCTGGGTAGTCGCAAACAGAGGGAACAGTTGACCAATCATGTGACGTAAAAGCTTGCTACTTCACAGCTGATTTGAAAAAACAGTTTCCATCTTCCATCCATTTTGCAAATATTTTCGCAAAAGCCGAAAACTAACTAAAGCGAGAGCGAAACCGTTCTAGTGAATGAGGGTTTCATTTTTTTAAAGATTTTGCAATATGCAGCAAGGTTTTCTGATGCGATGCTTCAAAATCCGTATAAGAAAAAAGCTAATGGAAAAGCACCTTATATTGCAATTTTCAATTTGCCTTTGTTGTACACTCACTGATTCTAATGGTACAAAGTTAAACAAATAAAAAATATATATATATTAATAACTTATGTTCTTTCTAAAGCTCTGTTTTCATTAAAAAAAATATCTGCTATTGTACTGACTGAGGCTATATTAGTATTTAGACCCAAGATCAATAATGCAAATTAACCACATGACATTGTCTACCTTAATGCACCTAGAATTGAAGCACCTCTGTGGTGAATAAGATGCATACTGGGTTTGTGACACGGTGCTTTTAAAGCCCTGGGAAGAATGTTGTTTTTTTTTAGGTTTGGAAGCTACTGCAATTAAAAATCATCGTCTTAAACATCACAACTTTAAACAAATAAATTATAACTTAACAAACCGGGATTCAAGCAGGAGAAATTGTTACTAATTCCGTCTTAACTAGCCTTCTATTATATGTCCCTATGCATTCTGGACTGCGTTTTGCTTCCTCCTTTTATTTTATGTTTCTTTATGCATTCCTTAAAACAGAATATGAGAATTAAAGTAAGTTGAGTTTGAAAATAAATAAGATGGAATATATAATACATTTGTCCTTTAAATATATAATAATACTGAGCATGACGGTATTTCAGAACCAAAACTGCTTAATACTAACTTTGACTCCTACAGATTAAAGCAGTGGGGTAAAACCTCCTGTCCTGTAATTTAGGAAATAACACGAAAGAAAGAAACCTACGAGACAAGACAAAATACTGTCTATATTGTAAGATATAACAACAAAAATCCTGAAAAAAACAAAAACTGAGTAGTACCTACAATGAAATAAAATGAACTAACGTTTGTCTAATTCATCCACAACATGTCACTGCTTGTGCAAACTGATGCAAACCTGAACATGCTGCAAACAGTCAAGATTAAGTGTAGTTTGCTGTCCACAAGAACAGGCTTACACAATCATCATCATCATCATCATCAACAGCAGGCTATCTGTGCTTGAAAAGTATGTACAGGTGCTGGTCATAAAATTAGAATATCATGAAAAAGTAGATTGATTTCAGTAATTCCATTTAAAAAGTGAAACTTGTATATTATATTCATACATTACATACAAACTCATATATTTCAGATGTTTATTTTGTTTAATTTTGATGATTACAAATAACAACAAATGAAAATCTCAAATTCATCATATCAGAAAATTAGAATATTACTGAAGACCAATAAAAACAAAGGATTTATAGAAATGTTGGCCAACTGAAAAGTATGAACATGAAAAGTATGAGCATGTACAGCACTCAGTATTTAGTTGGGCCTCCTTTGGCCTGTATTACTGCAGCAATGCGGCGTGGCATGGAGTCGATCAGTCTGTGGCACTGCTCAGGTGTTATGATAGCCCAGGTTGCTCTAATAGTGGCTTTTAGCTCTTCTGAATTGTTGGGTCTGGTGTATTGCATCTTTTTCTTCACAATACCCCATAGATTTTCTATGGGGTTAAGGTCAGGAGAGTTTGCTGGCCAATTAAGAACAGGGATACCATGGTCCTTCAACCAGGTACTGGTAGCTTTGGCACTGTGTGCAGGTGCCAAGTCCTGTTGGAAAATGAAATCTGCATCTCCAAAAAGTTGGTCAGCTGCAGGAAGCATGAAGTGCTCTAAAACTTCCTGGTATGTGGCTGCGTTGACCCTGGACCTCAGAAAACACAATGGACCAACACCAGCAGATGACATGGCACCCCAAACCATCACTGACTGTGGAAACTTTACACTGGACTTCAAGCAACGTGGATGAAGTGCCTCTCTTCTTTTCCTCCAGACTCTGGGACCTTGATTTCCAAAGGAAATGCAAAATTTACTTTCATCAGAGAACATGACTTTGGACCACTCACCAGCAGTCCAGTCCTGTTTCTCTTTAGCCCAGGCAAGACGCTTCTGACGCTGTCTGTGGTTCAAGAGTGGCTTGACACAAGGAATGCGACAGCAGAAACCCATGTCTTTCATACGTCTGTGTGTGGTGGTTCTTGAAGCACTCACTCCAGCTGCAGTCCACTCTTTGTGAATCTCCCCCACATTTTTGAATGGGTTTTGTTTCACAATCCTCTCCAGGGTGCGGTTATCTCTCTTGCTTGTACACTTTTTTCGACCACATCTTTTCCTTCCCTTCGCCTCTCTATTAATGTGCTTGGACACTGAGCTCTGTGAACAGCCAGCCTCTTTAGCGATGACCTTTTGTGTCTTGCCCTCCTTGTGCAAGGTGTCGATGGTCGTCTTTTGGACAACTGTCAAGTCAGCAGTCTTCCCCATGATTGTGTAGCCTATAGAACTAGACTGAAAGACCATTTAAAGGCTTTTGCAGGTGGTTTGAGTTAATTAGCTGATTAGAGTGTGGCACCAGGGGCCATCAATTTTGAACCTTTTCACAATATTCAAATTTTCTGATATGATGAATTTGAGATTTTCATTTGTTGTCATTTGTAATCATCAAAATTAAACAAAATAAACATCTGAAATATATGAGTTTGTATGTAATGTATGAATATAATATACAAGTTTCACTTTTTAAATGGAATTACTGAAATCAATCTACTTTTTCATGATATTCTAATTTTATGACCAGCACCTGTAGGACAGCAGAAAGAAAGTGATAAAAACATAAAAATGAACTCTGTGTAACTCAGATGATTACAGCTGTAAAAAAAAAAATGTGACTCCCCTACAGGAGATCGCTAAACAAAAGATGGCCTACATTTCATTTCATCACAACACACAGAGCAGAAGGCAGTAGACCTTAATCCAACATTCTACCCTTGAGCAGCGGTCCAGATTTATTTTACTCACCTGGAACATCATACCAGCTTGCTCCGTTGGTGATGCCGTCTTTGAAGGTTTCTTCTGGAGTGTCAGGACAGTTAGGCTGACCGGTTTTCATCACAGGGTGATTACGGGAATACACCAGGGCCAAGTAGCGAAACAGAGTGTCATCCTCTGACTGGCTGTAGTGGCCCTCACTCTGGTGGGAGGCAGAGTCGTCAAAAGGGTAGCTGGCGACCACAGTCCCGCCGTGCATGTTCCCTGACAGAACAAATCTGGCAGAAGACAACAGGTTTTAACCAACAGGGATAGTTTGAGTAGAGTTTGCTGTCATAAAACGTATACACTGGTACACGCACTAAGTCTAAAGCAGCAAACATGTTTGTACTAGTATCTTAACTACTTAACTGATTTCTTCTTCATTATTTTAAAATGTAGTGAAATATATTTAATATAAGCAGATTTTTTTTCAAGCTCTAAACAGATTTTTTAAGAAAATATTTTAAATGTAAATAATAAACGCACAAAAGATATTATACTTTCATCACATTTTTGATGAGCTGGTGTTTTATTACATGTTTGTCACTTATTTATTAACAAATGATAACTTAAGGTACTTTCTACACTGGCTTCATCTTGTTGACTGCTGTTTTTTTTTTTTTTTTTTTCAAGGTGTATTTCAATACACAAATGTGATTGTTGGGTTCCAACTACAGCAAAAAGATAAAGAGCTCCAGGACTGATGGATAATTATTTTAGAACAACCTTTAGATAGGTATGAGGAAAACCTTCCACTAAGCCATCAGCGTCAGGGAAGGGAAGATGCTGCCAGGTAACAATCTCTTTTCAGGTCACTGGCAAAGGCAACCTTTATCAAGCCAGCATTTTATTTATATTTATATATATATATATATATATATATATATATATATATATATATATATATATATATATATATATATATATATATATATATATATATATATATATACATATATATATACCAGGGTTACCTCTAAGGGCCCTGGATGGTACCTGCTGTGTTAGAGAAGAGAAAATCTCACTTTTGCTCTTTGATCCATTTGATCATCGCCATGACCTCTGGTATCTGATCTGCTGACACAGTTGTTCCGTCAAACTGATCGGGAAAACTTCTGTTAAGGTCCTTATTGTTGCCATTATTCCTTCCGTTGAAGTCTCCGTTGCAGTTCCCTTCCTCCGCTTTCTCAAAGCCGTCTGGATTCATACTGGGCATGATGTAAATGTCAGTGCTGTTCACCAGCTCCGTGATCCGGGCATCCTCTCCATATCTGCTGAGCAGGTACTCCACCAGGTAGATCAGCACCTGCCTGGACACGGTCTCGTCTCCGTGCATGTTCCCCACGTACTTAAATTTAGGTTTGCCCGGCGTGTCTTTGTCGGGCTCCACGGTGATCCGCATCACCCACAGCTCCCTGCCCTCCACAGACCGACCGATGCTCGACAGGTTCGCGATGTGGGAATAGTTCTGCGCCAAAGACTGTAGAAGCTTCGTTAGGTTAGCATAATTGTAGTATTTGTCATAAGTTTCTACCGTTTCTGAAGCAGCGACGCTTCGAGGCAGCTGCGTCTTCCCTTCACCCCGAGACACGGCGAGAAGAAACAAGGCGAAAAGCACCAGCAGCTGCTTCAACGGCTTCGGAATGAAAACCATGTTGACTTCACTAAGACTTCTACACCATTGGGTCTTCTCAGTTGAACTACGGAGAGAAGAAACTTGGGTTATTTTTCCGCCCCGTCTTTGCGAAACAGCTGTTCTTTTTCGATACCAGGACAACTATGGCCTGCTTTCTTTCACTTCCGTTCACCTCCCGGTAGGCGGGGCTAAACTGTGACGCAACTTTTTAAGGTGGATCGGTGGAGTTCATGGTGCTGGACAGCAAACCAGTGGCGGTTCTAAACGAAGTTTACCAAAGGAGCCAAGGAGCAGCCACTGTTTCTATTTGGTAGCGTTTTTCTATGGGGCACAAAACAAAAAAGTAACAACAGCAAAACAAACACAAAAAAAAAAAATCGAGGCAAAGGGCCCTTGATTCTAAAGGCCCTTGAGTGAGGGGGACAAAAGGAGAAGAAAAGATTTGTCCCTCTATATTTTTGTCCAGCAGTAAAATAAATAATCTTTATGTTCTCCCTCATTTTTCAGCAGTAAATAGTAAAACAAAGCATGAATATATTGACATCCACCCCTCTAGTGAAATTACAATACATTTTTGCTCCTCGCATTCTGGCTGCATCACATCAGGTGTCGCCGTCTTTCATCGGCAGTTCGCTCATGCCGGGGCTTAAATGCCACAGAAACATCATTGGACGTAGTGACAATGAAAGAAACAAATTAACAAGAAAATGTCTAAATAAGCAGCAGTTTGGTAAAAACTTATGTGGCTGAAAAATGCAGCGCCCCAAAGTCAGGGTTTCAAAAAGGAAGAGGAAGGAAGGAGAAAGAGGAGAGATGGCGAAGGCGTCAGATACGATGACCCAGTTTTCCTGCCCTCTCTTTTTTTTCTCAGAAAAGTTTCCTTAACTCAACAGTTCAAATTAATTCAATTCAGTTTATTTATATAGCCAGGCAGATGAGCCTGAGCCAGCTCCAATGTCAGAGGATGAAGAGAGCACATCCAGCCAGTCACATTCAGAGAAACAGGACTACACTGGAAAAACAGTGTATCATTTTAACTTTTTCCCCAATTGGAGTTATTTTTATTTTTATTAGATTATCATGATTACTCCTTTGGGAATCTGTGCTAATTTATTAGATTTTGGTCGTGGGCAAGACACTGTCTGGATGGAGTAATGAGTGGGTAACAGTAGAGAAGCTGCAGAGACGTGTGTTAAACTACGACTTAAATTAAATTAATGATAGATTATTAACCAGTTGAGTAAAATAAGACAGCTATCTGCTGGGTAAAACTGCGTAGTTATTCTTCCTCAATGTCGGAGGGGAATCACATTATTAATGATGCTGCTCAGCTGGGTGCAGTCTGAAACAGAGCATGATTGCAAGTTTTTTTTTTTTTTTTTTTTTTTTAGTTTAGTTATATTTTTATATTTAGATTAAATTACAACATTTAAAACACATCTATAAATCTTGATCATTCTCATGAGCAGCCTGAAGCAGCAATATAAAAAATATATATTCTGTCATTACACACAGATTAATGAAAAATAAGTTCTTAGGGCAAGCATAAAAGTTGAGGCCCCAATATCGATGTATTTCATGGGGCCCAAAATTCCTGGCGGCCCCCCTGTAAATGAGCCACGAAGCCAGATTTAAAAAAAAGTAATCCTACCTTAATACAGCTGGAGCTTAAAGCTAACTGTAATTTCTAATTAATTATGGAAGTAAATTGTAAGTATATTCAACTGAAGTGTAAGTAAATTGTAAAGGCTAAATTATAAATTGGTCAGCGCATAATATGCGCTGACCAATTTACTAAATCAGTTTGTTATGATCATATTATGATCATAACAAACTGATTTAGTATTTAACAGCAAAAACTGGTCTGAAAAAATAAATAAATCAATCTTGAAATAGGTGTATTGGTCCTTAATTTAAGCAGGCAAATACAGTGATCTACCAAATAAATTTGTACTTTACCCTTACAATAACAAAATTAGATATGATGCTCTTGAAATCATATAATGGAGTTGTGTTTCCCCCCTTATTTTGAAACATAGATATTTGTATTCTATTGGAAAATTGTCCTAGGCCTACTTACTCAAAAAAGGTAAGATTGATCAATTTTAAGAAAATAAGTCTGAAATTAGTTATGTATTTATTTTTTTACTTTATTTCTTTTTGCAGAATTTTGCAGTATAGGTTTTTTGTACAAAAGACAATAACAGTGGTGGCGACCATTTCTGCAAGGCCATTTGCCCCCATTGGCCCCTGTCTAGACCACCCATGCATCAACCCCATGAAGCCTCTTCAATATTTTGTACCATTGACACAGTTCTAGGTGTTTCGTACCCGAGTTACTCTCTATACAATATGTAACTGTTAGCCTACATTCTCTTTGAAACCAGAATTTTATGACATTTAATGTATTCTGCTACAAAAGCAGAGTTGTAATTTCACACTATTATGTTTTTGGAGAGGGCAGATTTCATTGAAGTAAATTGTTGTATTGCAGGTCTTTGATTCTATTTTTTCAAATCTTTTTCTCACAATGCCAACTTTTATTTTTATTGTTATAAAAACAACCTACTAATCTCCCCACTGTCTCTGCCATCTTTCTTTGACCTTTTAATTACATTTTTAACTCCTTCTCAACTAAAAGATGCTAACATTTGAGAGTTTTTTTCTCATGGATTTTGTTGCATATTTTTCCAACAATTCATTACCTTGTATTCCTACGTGTGAAGGTAGCAATATTAAAAAACAAAGCAGCAACGTTTTAATCCCATCACTTGAACTCTGTTCATTAAAAGTTACATTTCTAATAAAATGCCTGGTCTGGTGTCTGAATGTTTGTGTGTTAATGAATGTAACAAAATTACATTTGTTACTCGCGGACTTCCTCAGTCCAAGGCTTTAATTCAACTATTTTTCCTTTCTTTGCTGAAAGTTCATCTCTTTTTCTTTTACTTGTTTTAATAATTTAACATCCAGGTCAATGTTTTTATGCATTCATATAACTTGACTGTATCTGTAGCATTTGTTATCTAAATATACTTGTACCGAACATGCATCTAACTTTCTTTGTCTTTTTATTATCCAACAAGATCAGATCAGTGTCTGGTAATAGAGATGTAGGATTTTTATTTCAAACAATTTACTGTATTCTCAGCTAAGATTATTTATTTTCTATCTATCTATCTATCTATCTATCTATCTATCTATCTATCTATATATATATATATATATATATATATATATATATATATATATATATATATATATATATATATATATATATATATATATATATATATATATATATATATGCACAGGATACGTGCAGAGCTACTTTTGTCACAAAGTTATCTTCAATGTATGCCTATATGTGATATTATGCAAAGCAACATTTGGATTATACAGGTGCAAAAGCTTTAATGCCCAGGTGCAGTTCAACATTTTCGAAAATGAAGCCTGGCTTTACTGCTGGCTCCAAACCATATGAGAAAGGAATATGAAAACATTTAATCATTACAAGATGCATTTTCTTTACTTATTAAACTAGCTGGAGAAATGGTAACTCAAGTTAATAATAAACTTTTTGGGTGGAGATTAATGAATTTTATGAATCTCTGGCCAGTCCACATCTGACTTTTATTTTAATGCAAAAGCATTTTTATCCATAAACTTATTAGTAGCTCATTTCTATTCAAGGATTGTAAATCATCATTCATTTAAATATGTTTCAAAAACAGAATATTTCTATATAGCATGGATAATTATTCTTTTTTTCTATTGCATTTGATTGTCAATAAAAAATTTTTTTACTGATATCATAAAGTAATCATTAAAAAAGAGATTTTTCCACAGTTTGCAGTTTCACCCAAAAAAATCTGTCCTCCATATTTCTTCAGTACACAGCCTCGCAGGGAGATGTGCAATAAACAGAGTGATGTGTGTTATTAGGAGTTTTACAAGTTTATTCTGTTTTTACTATGTGCAATAATAGGAAAATTTAATTAATATCACCCTTCAAGTTAGTGGCGTTTATATCAATGAAACAATAGTATCTTGACCTTGATTTGGAAAAGCACTGCACCACAAGGGAATGAAGTAAATAAAGTATTGTTTTATGCTGAAAGTTGAGCTTAACAAACCGTTGGTTCAATTTGGTTATCTTTAGAAGCTTAGGCACATAATTACTGTATTAATTAAGAAAAGAGGGAAAATAGGGAAATCTTCATATATAATGCTTTCAACAACAAAGGGGGGAAAAAAATGGGATTTCCAGCTTCCAACTGAGACATTAGGGAAAAAACAACACAATTGATTTCAATTTTAGAAAGAAAATTTAAAAAATAAATAAGAACCAGATTATATGTTTTGTTTCTACTTAAGGAAAATTCAACATCAGCACTTGTTGCCTTGCACTGAGATCCAGTACAACTTGCTGGATTATTCTAATCTTAACTTGACTGATGATGACACGTTGCAGAAAATCAACAGTTCCCATAAACATTTCTGGAAGAATAAAATAAAAGAAAAACTCAATGCCCTCCAGGTTAGCAGCAGACTTATTGAGTTGGTGTTTATTTTAAGTAGCCCAGTCCTTCTTTGTTCCTCCCCTGCATCACCATAGTCACCCACAAACATTAGAAGTTACTCAGCAATGCCCAAGGGCCTCCACTGCTCTGCTGCCTCTGCCTTCTCACCTCATAAGCCATCAGTCTGGAGCTTTTCCTCATTGTCTCTTGGTTTTTTTGTTTGTTTGTTTTTCCTCTTCCCAGTCCCTTTTCCTCTCTCTTTATTTGGCAAGAAAACCAACTTTGTGTAAACATCTCATTTAGAAAGCTCCAGAGGGTCCTGGACTTATAGGTTAAATAGAGGAAAATTATGAAGAATAGAAGAAGGAGGAAGAGGTAAAGGGTGAGGTTGGGGGGGGGGCAGCTGCAGGCCTCATTGCTGGATTCGACGCAGTGACTGAACCTGGAAGGACTGAGCATGGGAACCCCACTCTCTGTAATGTTTGTATTCGCCGCCATGGCGGTCGCACTCCATGATGTATTGGTAACCACGGTAACCTGGAAACTGGTAGCACACCCAGCTGTGGGATAAAAGAAGAGGAGTTATCTATAAGTATCTGTTAAAGAGATAAACTAAGTATTAAAAATAAATTAAAAACTGTGGAAGATGCTGAAAATTCAAAACCTTAAGTGTTTTAATTAGACATGGACAACTTTTATTGTCATTTTGTATACACAGAGTGTATACAAAATATGATTTCGTTTGGTACAGCTTTCATGACATTTCCAATTCTTAAAGTGCAGCAGTGACCAAATGTACACAGTGTGGGAGAAAAAAAACATGCGTCAAAGCATTATCGAGAGCCGCCATGATGTCCCTTGTGGTAAATTGTGGTAAAATAAAAGAAAAAGACATATACAAGCAACAGTTAGATACATGCAACTTATCTGTCAGCTGTGGGGTGGACAGATTTCCTATTTATTCTTATTAATGTGCAGTATACTGCAGGGGGTTTGGCACATTGTGTGTTGCATAGTTGTCTCCTTACTGCTGCTGGGAATAGAAAGACTTGGTTGTATTTTATGTGGGTTTGCACTGTATTATAATGAACCCCAGAACCTCTGTAATTTCCATTAATTCTAAGTGGTTGCATGTTGTAAAGGAAAAGTATTCAACTCTTTGATTGTTTATTACCAAAAAAAAAAAAAAGCAAGGAAAAAAAATGTCAGACTGTAAAGTTAGCGGATGTAGTCTATCCAAATATACCTCATGAAATATTCTGTTTTAACTTACTAAATGGTTAAAAATTGGCTTAGGTTTCTATTATATCCCCTTTATCTACCACCTCTTCTCTGGCAATCATGTCGCTCTCAGCACTGCAGCCTGGTAGAGTAAAGATGCCTAAGTGCTCTTGGAGCGGTTCTCATTCATCAGGTTTGCATTCTGCATTTGAAAAACTTAGCAAGGTGGAACCTAAGAGGAAAAGAGGATTTTTTTGTTTTTATATAACTTGACTGTAGTTGTAGTATTTGTTATCTAAATATACTTGTACCGAACATGCATCTAACTTTCCTTGTCTGTTTATCCAACCAGATCAGATCAGTGTCTGGTAATATAGATGTGGGATTTTTATTTCTGTGACATTTGTGCAATGCTTTTGTGCAATGCAGTGGAAGTCCCAACATTTTCTTTTCTCCTCTTTTTTTTTCTGTATCACACCAACCTTTAGCAGAGGGGGGTTTTTTTCTCCCAGAAAACCTATTTTCTCTGGCTGTGATTTTGCACAAATATCCATAAATTAGGAAATTTCTCTTAAATGCATTCATGATGTCATATTCAAATGTTGACTTAAGTCTGAAAAGATGATATTTGCATGGTAGAACCAATTTAGGTGCACATCTAATTTTGCATCAATTTTCAAAACTAGAAGGACCCAAAAATATATTTACCTCCATTATTACTCAGAAATACCTTGTAAATATGTTCTTCTTGGATGCATTTTTAACCCTGTAATGCCAAATGTATCCTATTTGATACATACGGTTTCTGAAATGTTTTGCGTCTGACACCTTTTGCATAATTTAATGGTAAAAACTTTGCTCAAAATCCTATTGTACACAATCAGATATGCCTGATAACAGAGGGCAGAAGACTACACAAAAAATAATCTTGACTTATCGCATAGTAATAAATTGCTAATATCAAAAATTTATTTGTTTTTTCTTTTTATGTATTTTGTTAAAAGGCCAAATAAGGACTTCAAACCAAAAAGAAGTAATTTTCTGTTTTGTTTTATTCTTGGATCGGGCTTTAAAGGGTTAAAGATGCAGCCGATATCTTACCATGCAAGCAATATGAAGAGTTGCTAGATTTGTGAATTCATAGGCACAGTCCCAAACCAGCCCCTAAACACTAACACTAAGCTAAACCCTGCATCTGCTTGTTATCGCAGAGTTAAGGGCCATTAGGGGCCGTCCCAAACCACATAGTGGGTAGGGTGAGTGGACCGTTCAGCCAGCGGCGTAGGAAGCGGGGGGGACGGGGGGGACATGTCCCCCCCAATATAAAAGCCAGGTGGATATGTCCCCCCAAAAAATTGTACCGCAAAATATTAGATTTTGACAATTTTTTAACTATCGTGCTTTTATTTTGAAGGCGTAGCATAGCGTTACGTCACTGTACTCCCCCTCCCCTCTGTGAACTGTTGAGTGTTTGAGCACTGAGGGAAACAGCGATACAGAAAGTCAGAAACTTGTGAATGAGGTAAAATGGTCTGTCGGGAATGCTGCTATGAATATTGCTCATTTATAACGTCTTGTTGTCAGTTCACTTTCATATATAGAAACTGAATCTTTTTGGTTTAGTCATCTTAGTCTTGTAGGAAGAGGATTAGGGCCACTGAAAAAAGTTAACTGATTTTTAATTTTTTTTAGTTTAACATGGGGGAAAAAGTCAGAATTCTGACTTTTCTCAGAATTCTGACTTTAATCTCAGAATTCTGACTTTTTTCTCAGATTTCTGACTTTAATCTCAGAATTCTGACTTTTTTCTCAGAAATCTGACAGATGATTAATGTTTCTAATCAATTTACAGTTTTTTTTGGTGGTGGTGGTGGGGGGGGGGTACTATACAGATATATAAAAACAAGAAGGTCTAACTAAAAAATAACCAGAATATATGTTTAGAGTAAAGATTGACTACTTGTGTTTACACAAGCACACAATTTCAAATCTGCTGAGCTTGAGCTTGTGCAAGAAAATGTAAAATATACGTATAAAGACATATAACAGGAAGTACTGCTCAAACAAACTAAATGTTAAATAATGTAGATATTGGTTTAAAAAATTCTTCAGATTTGGAAATTTGGAAGGAATACATAATTCTGAAATTAATCAACAAATCTGATAAAAAAAAAAATAAATAAAAAATAAAAGTTGCACTTTTTTACTTGAGGAATTTGTTGAATAACTTCATAATTATGAGTTTAACTAGTTGGAGGTAATGCTACACTTCTCTGCTTCCTGTCCTGCTCATAAAAGGTAAACATTATAAACCACCATTAATTTTCTACACTATTTGGAAAACACAACACAAATGTAATATAACAAAAGTATGTTTAACAACAAACATGTTAGCATCAAGCCATAGCCATGTCTCTTTTAGAGACTAGATCTCTTGTTTTAATGACCTTCTGCTCCTCCATTAATGGAAAAGTTGCCTAATTCTGTCATTTTCCACCAATGTGTCACTGGCTCTCTCAAACAACTCACATCTTTGTCAGTGAAGCTGAGTGCTCCACATCTCTGCCTTCATGGTGCCCATCTACATTAAGATCCACAATTCTGAGAAAAAAAGTCAGAATTCTGAGGAAAAAAAAAGTCTTAATTCTGAAAATAAAAGTCAGAATTCTGACTTTTTCCCGTATTAAACTGAAATAAAATGTAAAAATCACTTAACTTTTTTTTTTCCAGTGGCCCTAATCCTCTTCCGTAGTCTTGGGCTGATCACTCATCCAATATTTAACTGCTAACTTTCTCTAGACGTTTGCCACGCTAGCCAAAATGTTTTTTTTATATATTTTTTTTTTTATATCTCATTTCAGTACAATGCCACCACCAACTAAAAGGCTGAAACAGCAGCAGGACTTACTCAGATTTTTTTAAAAGAGAAACGTCAGTGTGAGTAACAGTCACCTAACACAACTTGTGTTGAAATTAGCCCGGTCTGGGCGTGTGTTTTACGAGGATTTTTTTATTTTTTGCATGGTTTTGATTCGCCGAAATGGACAGATGTTATACCTGCCGCGCTCCTGATCGTTAGTTAACCACAGGGAGAATTAATTCTAATTCTTAGCAGCGGCGGCCGCATTGGTCGTGCAGTGGACTGCTGCACAACCACTAATTAACCAACTAATTAACTTCTGCATCTTTATTTCCTCAAATAAACTGCTGGCTCCTCTTTTTAGACTATAAACAGATTAACACAACATTGACAACTCTGTAGTTTTCTCTGTTCTGTACTGCAAATTGGAATTAAAGGCGTCATTTCTACCAAAGGTCTGGACAGACTGGCCACCTGTCTAGGGTGGACCCCGCACCAGCACCTCCCGACCCCACTAAGGGACAGGGTGTACAGAAAATGGAAGGATGGATGGATTTCTACCAAAGGTTGATAATGCGTTTTTGAACCAGATGCTTCAAAGCGCCCTGTCCATAATTCTTCAACACACTGTCAGCTCCCTCTGTCAGTCAACCTATATAAATTAATTTTTGACCATTATTGCAAGTTTGACAAAATAAAACATATCAAACTTTGCACTTGTATGGCCTACTGAATTGTTTTGATTTTCTAGTGCGTATGCGGACACTAAATATGCCAAGGGCTGAAGCCCTTGAAAGACATCTCCCTTTGCTTAATAAAAGACTCCAGTCATTTTGTTTGGTGATATGCTCACATCTTATGAACAAATGCATTATGTTAATTTTAAATGCATTATTTTTGCAAACACATTTATAAAGGAATAAAGTAAAAGATTAAATAGCCTTTTTTTAAGTAGCGTACTTAAGATATGTTTCTGTTGAATATTTACGAATCTCAGATTTCCGACATGTGTCCCCCCCAATTGTAAACATATTCCTACGCCCTTGCGTTCAGCCCTTAAATAGTGAGTCTGCATCATTGCTAGCTCGCTGGAATTTGACAGCGGGTGTAACGGCAAACTAATAGCAGAGGAAAAACATGCATTCAAATATAAGTTCTTCTGGATTGCTGCAGCTCCATCACAATGACAGTAAATAAGTTAGGGAGGGAAAAAAATGTCATTGATCCCAAAAGGGAAGGTTCTCTTTGAGGCCATATACTTTTTTTTTTTAAAGAATTTGGCAAAATGTTTGATGGCATATCAACCTGCGCTATAGCCAAGCACATGTGGCATCTCTGTGTTGCCATAGCAGCGACTGCTTTTCTTTTCTGTTGGAGGAAAGAGGCTGTCCCATTCTTATTTATTCCACCCACCATCACTTAAGCTGCCCTCCAAAGCTGTGAGTGTGACTTCCCTGGGAGTTAAGGGGTAGTTCATAGTGGGTGGTTTGGGATTGGGCAACGAACTTCTGAAAATCAATGTTGTTAGAAGCTAAAGAAGCATTAGCCTCAAATACAGAAATGTTTCGAACCAATGAGATGCGGTGATGTGTATGGCATCACCAGATGCATCAGACTGAAGCAAAACAAACATGGCTGTGCCAGTGGATGTACTTATAAACAATATGATCCGTGTTAGCTGGAATAATTTCTTTTTGGAAAAAAGAGCAAAAAGACACAACTTGTGCCTTTGTGGAAAGATGGGAAATGTTTGTGTGTTCCTACCGACTAGATTTGATTTACCAGTTAACTCCACTAAATGTGAAACAAATCAAGAATGTGATACGTCACAATATGCGATTGGCATGAGAGGCAAGTGCCACATGGTGATTTACCCAATCAGCTGGGAGAGTATTACTGAATGTTCCTCCACTTTTGGCAACACTGAAAAGGAGCCTTTCCAGATGGATACTGTGTAGAATTCAAATTGAACTACATGTATTAATCTGGTTTATGCTAGGCTATCTGATATCACCCTTTGTGTTTAGAGGTGCAATCCTTCCAACACAGGCAGGTATCAACTGTTTGAATGCTATGATCACATTGTATGCATTTAGAAGTTGAGACTTACGCTCCGCTCTGAACTTGCATGGATCCAATCTCATTTTTCCCCCAGCCCATAGCCTGCAGGGAGGGGTAGTCATCATTTATCTCCCACTGACGACCCATGAAGTTCTCCCTCTCAAACACCACAATCTTGGACTCCTTATGGTTCTGCTTTCACAAAGAAAAAACAACGGTTAGTGTAACCCAACTCAAGGTCAACCCTACTTCATTTTGCATTGCTCTTTACGTGTTTCTATGTTAATGGCTGCTTTGAATTGCTATTTTATTGATGTAAGTCAATTTTGGTTAGAGTGGAAGGGTGATTCTTAGATATTAATTTAATATTGTTTAAAGAGTGGGCAAAAGCTGACAATTTGGGTGAGAAACGCACAGCGCAGCAGATGGGCCGGAAGGACATCATCCTCTCGATGTGGTAGGCATTGCTGCCACTCCATGACTCCCAGTGAGGATACTCTCCTCTCTCCAGCACAAACTGCTGTCCACAGAAGCTGGAATGCTCATATCCTGCCCAGCTGTTCAGCAACAAGACACACAAACACCGCATGATGCATCATATTAGAATATTGGGAAAGGAGATATTTAATCTACTCCTTTTTTTACTTTCCACTTACGCCCCACATTCCACCTTGAGCGAGCGAATGTTGTTGATGCTGCACTCCATGATGTTCTGGCAGGCTGAGGTGAACTCCACACGCTTGCCCTGGAAGTTCTCCTGGTCATAAACTGTGATCTGGAGAGAACATGTCGCATGTATACTCACAACTGTATGTAATTTGCTTTTAGCAATACTCAGTAACAAATAATCCGACTCACCTTCCATGGTCCCAGAGGGTTGGGATTATTTAATGCCATCCTACTGTGTATTTGTATCTAAAGTCCCTTTAAAACAGATATAGAGATAAGTGCAAAGGGTCAGAATTATGTCATATTTCAAATTGGTTGTGTGTAGAATACATTGCATGTTTTAGGTTTGCTGAGAGCATCAGTCTAAATTTAAACCTGCCTGTTGGGTTTTACTCTTTACTCTCAACCCTGCAGGTTGGATGTAAATACTATGTCCAAATGCTCTGCCAGTGCTCAGTCCATGCATGTCCCTGTCTGACTTCTATGTGTTTGTATGACTCAGCAGAATGGCTGCTCAAAGAAAGCAAAAAAAATATAGCACATCTTTGACCTGCATATTTAGGACTGTGATAAAAGACTTACCAAACTTTCCTCCAAATAATAGTTGCTCAGCACTCACAGGAGCTTCCACAAAAAGACGTCCTAAACTCCAAAATGAACAGGGCCTTTTTATACATGTTGGTGCTGAAATGTAACCAGATAGGAATGGGTCGGGGCAGGAGTCAGCACATTATTGGTCCTCTTCATTGTTTGGTACTGAGCTATTGGGCTTTAGTGAGCTGCAGCTGGACTGAACGGAGGGCACTGTGCCCAGTGCAAATAAGCAGAAGTTTTAAAGGATTCGTGTCCAAGGGGCTGGGCCGAGTTCTGGCACAGCAGAGATCAGGAAAGAGGTCCCAGTTAGGTCATGACAAGTGAAACTAACCATCATCAACAACAATAAATAAATAGATAAAAACAATAAAAATCATTACAGATTTGATCTATTTTAGAGTGGAAAATAGAGTTGATAAAAGATCTTTCCAAAATAAAAATAAAAATCCAGTTTAACCATCTATCCCTTTGTAGTCATTGCTTATTACTATCATGCCCTTCATTTCCAGTCCTCATTCATCTCTGAATGTACATCAGTCACACTCTCTCGCCTAATGACTGGATTGAAACATACACATTCAATCAGGGTTCAGATATCTATACACAAAATATCCAGAAATGTTTACAGTCAGGCATGTATTAGTACAGACAGGTGGCCATTAACATGCCTGTGTGAAATGTGTAAAATCTCTAATGTAATCATTCTGTCCAGTGGCAAAATATATACATTAGATTCCGGGCAAAACACAACAGTTATGAAATGCCAGAGAATTGTTATTTTTTGTCTTGATTTGTGAGACTTTTAGTTAAGATTTATCTGTGTTCTGTCTTTGCTTTAGGTTTTTGACTCTTTACTTTTCTTTCAGCCTTCTTTAGTCCATCCTGTCCACAGTTGCAGCTCTTTCTATTGATTAGGCTTAGCTTGTCCTTTTTCCAGCAGTCTTCCACTTGTGTTAAAGTTCCATGCTGGTAATCTTTCTGCATCTGCCATTTTGCTAGTGTTTTGTTTTTTTTCTCTGATTAAATCAAAATTCAGTTTAAAAAAGTAGCCCATCTGACTTTTTTTGGAAACAAGCTGGAATGTTTATTTTTTTGTATCCAGCTGGGTAGTGATTATGTTAAAGTTGCCTCTTTTATTTCTGTTAAAATTTTCTGTTATACAGCTAACTAGAGGTGCAATTACAATAAATCAGCAACAAATGGATTTGGAATCAGTTTTAGGATTTCACAACGTATGCAAGTCAAACTCTTAGACGTCTAATGTATAAATCTAACTAACACAATAAACTTTTTGAATTTTTCAATACAGTTTTCTGATTGAATTTCATGTGTTTCTTTTTGGATTACCTTTTTAATTAACCATTCTTGTTTTGTTAAGTTTAATTTAGTTTTTATATTTTGTTTTAATAGATTGATATGTCTCATATGAACTCACACATGGCAAGTCGGTTTGGTTTTTTGATTTATTGATACATGAATTAAAATTGTAAATGGAGAAGTGTCTCTTATGTCTTTGTGATTAAAATTGCTTTGATAAAAAATATATATAAGTGTGAAAAACTATTTGATTGGGATTCAAACTGAATGAGATGCTAGTTAAGCATTTAACTGCAAATAACATATTTTTTTAACCTTTTTTTTCTGTGAGAGTTTTTCTGTCTCATCATTTTTAAATTACATAAGAGTTAACTCTGTACATAGATTGTTCCACAACAGGATGTATGGTAGTGATGTGAGATAGCCTGACTAAGTTTTGTTTATGCACTGCTTCAAACACAGTAGATGATGTACAGTGTAGATGTCTGGACCAAAGGGGTGTGTCATATGCAGAAAGAGTCCTACATTTAAAATAAGCACTTAAATCTGAACAGATCCTTTGTTATGACATAAAAAATGCATTTGTCCCAGTTTTTTGATTGTGCTAAAATTGACGGCTCCACCTGTTACAATGCCTTACTTAAACCATCCTAGATCTATTATGTTTCTTTAGTACTAATTTGCTGCAGTTATAGTAAAGAAGTTGTCAAAATGACTTCCAGGACTCTTGGTTAAAAAAACACATTAGACAAAGGTAAAAAAAAAAAAAAAAAAAAAAAAAAAAAAAAAAAAAAAACATGTTGTATTTGTTTCAACAGAAAGAAACCAGATATAGTAACATATGTGATATCTATTCCATTGGAAAATTCTATTCTTTTATTCTCACACTGGTACCACACTGCAAAAACGATCTAGAAATAAGTAAAAATGTCTTAAATTAAGTGTATTCGCCCTTAATTTGAGCAGCTAAATTAGATAGTTTGCCAGTGGAATGAGTAATTTTACTCTTAAAATAAGATAATTAGATAATATGCACTTGAAATAAGACAATGCAATTGTGTTTTCTTATTTTAAGTGTAAATTGTCTTGTTCCATTGGCAGAATGTCTCTTTTACCTCCTCAATTCAAGAACAAATGCACTTATTTTAAGAAAAAATTACTTATCTAGATTTAGATTTTTTGCAGTGCAGAAGGTTGAATTAAGACTTCATGGTGGTTGAGCCAATCTTGATTTATTTCAATTGTTTATTTTCAGGCAGTGATTGCTTCTGATAACCAGACGATAAATGCAAAACAGGTGGACTGCTGGCCTTAGTCAGTAAGTCAGTAAATTATACAAAATGCTGCTGCCAGAGTCCTGATTAGCACTGGGGAAATTACTCATAATACACTCTCCTTAAAATTATGCTCTGACTACTTGTTTCTAATAGGAATCATTATTCCAGCATTCAATTAATTTTTACGTTGAAAGTCAGGTATGAAATGCATCCAAGAGATCTGTTCCTTCAGTGCTTTTTGGGATGTGGCTCAAACCACAATCAGCAGTAGTTTTGTATGTTTCTTCTTCCCAAAAAAACCTGACATGTTTTCATTCTTCAATTAATTTTGATCATGTTTTTGCTTCTCATTTGTTTTTAATTAAGATTTAATCTCTTTAATCGTATTTAATGCTTAGATTTTTAACAGCTCTTCCAATATTGGACCTGCTTTTCATAAAGGCCATAAAGTTAAAGCGAGACTCCAGCACCACTGAAAAGTGTCAGCCATTCCCATGTCTGAACAAAAGAAACTCCGTCCCATTCCACAGTCAGCACATTTACCATCCCGGGGCTCAAAGGCTTAGCTGCAAATGTGAAAGTAAAAAACAAATGTGGGAAAAATAGAAAAAAATATCATCACAAAGTACATGTTGGAGATGACAGAAGAGTTAAATCAAAGATTTAAAAAAAGGTTGAAGATGTTGAAGAAGGTTGAAAGCCTAAGATTAGAGGTTTGAGTGTGAGTTCACATGTTCTATGAGCTTGCCACCAACTTTCTGCTGATGGCAGTGACTGTCCTTAGCCCCCAACAATGTGACCATACAATACCCCCCCCTGCCCCTGCTGACTGAGCACAGATCACCAATGGATTACTAAAATGACCTTTGGCCCACCACCGTGCTCCCAGCATTTCTGAGCCAATGAGATGCCTTGATAGATTCGCCCATGAGGTGAATGTATATATATATATGTGCAGTCAGAAGGCCTCCGTCCATCTCTGTCTTCAAGGTCGGTCCATCACAGCCTTCAGTTGTGACTGTAAGTGTCCACAGCAAATTCTTCTGACTCTTTCTAGTAAAAATGCTTGGAAATTAGAAAGGATACTGTGGTTTACTAATTGGGCAGACTAGAACAACCAAGCCAAAATGGACTTATTTCAAATTTATTCTTTACCTTTGGACTGAGTATGTGGATTACTTGCATAAATTGCAGTGTATTATTCAACACTGATTTGTTAATGCAACATAAAATCAGCAAGGATGATTACCTTAAAAACTGGATCCTGGACAAAACAATTCTGAATCTTCTGCAATGAGAAATTTTTGGAGCATAATACGAATCCAATGACAGGGAATTTGCTTTTGCTATGGGTTTTAGAAGTTTTTCTGCAAATGCAAGTAAAAAACATTCTCATTGAAGGTCTGGTTTTTTAAAGTAAATGATATTTGTTACTTTTTTCCTTAACTTCTCTTTTAGAGTGTGAGTCTTTCTGAAACACACTGGAAATTTTTCAGATGCAGAACTTATACAACTTTAGGCATATAAAAAAAAAAAGAAATGATCATGTGTAACACAGATCAGGAAGGCAGTAGCAACTTTTTCCGCTTTATTAATATTTTCTAGCTTGAAGAGAAGACAAGAGAAAAGGCACGAATCCTGTGTGTCAGTGGTCAGTATGTTTTATCTCTGTCAGGTGTTTATGCAGGGGCAGGAGAGCACCTTCAAAAGGCAATATCACAGGATAAAACACTATCTTTACCATTACTGTGCATGAATTTGTAGTAATTTTAGTATAAATGAAAACAAATATAACAGAAAGAAAAAATGTTTCTATAATGCTAGTTATTTGAAGTACTCTGATATGTGCATGTCCTACTCTATTTTCTTCAGTTTTCAGTTGTTTTGTAGGATGCATAAAGAAACCACATTGCAGCAAACTCTTACTCAACTTTATGCTTGTAAAAGACATTTTTTGTTTTGTGATTCCTTTCTCTTTAGATTGATCATGTCTCACTCAGGTGCTCAGGGCAGTATTGGCAGTCACCCTGCTATTGGCCTACGCAATCACAAGGTACTTCAAAAGCTAGAAAATAGTCTTAAAACCAAACAATTAAGGTATCATTTAATTTTTTTTTTTCATTTTTCTCTGTTCTGCTTTTTTTTTTTTTCAGATATACCTCTATGAATATGAAAACTTCCGAGGCCGTAGGATGGACCTGTTTGGAGAGTGCAATAACCTGTGTGAGAAAGGTTTCGACAGAATTGGCTCCATCAGGGTAGAGTGTGGCCCGTAAGTCTTCAAACTTGTCTAACTGACTATAATTTAATGTAATATAGAGGACACTTTGCTAGAGATATGTTTTATAGTTCCGGCTGGACCTTGCAAAGCTGTGGTTGAAATGGGGCTCAGTTGATACTAAGAGGTCCAAAGTGTGCAAATAATTGGTCCCAGCATGAACCAAAAAACATGCTTTTAATCATGTGTGTTCTAGCAGTAATCAAGATCCGTCTTTTTCCAAACTACTGTTGCTCAGTATTGGTGAGCCTGTGCGTATTGTTTCATCCATTTTCTGTCCTTAGCTGAGTTACATCAGGTGTATTCTTCTTCTTTCATTTCAAGGTTTGATGT